TGTTGTGTTCACTTGTAATGCGTGGCTCGAATACGATGCCTCTGTGTAACTCTTGAGCGGTGGGGTGGCAATAATTAGTTTACTTTAATGTGAGGATAAAATATACTAAAATTGTGTAGTGAAATGTACATATATAATGTGTGTGTGGCTGATACAGACATCAGAAGTATAGGTTTACACATTTATCATGGTATAAGTAAATTTTAAAATAACATTTTATGTTTCATTCTACCATTTTATATGATTGGTTAACTAAAGACTTGCTTTAGTTTGAGGTTCGAAATATAAATAGAGGTAAGCGATGATAAAAAAGGGTAGGGTAATGAAATCTATGGTATTTCTCGAAATATACAAGCCTGCCCATTTCATTTCTTTAGTTAAACAGTTGAGAGAACCGTTAAAGGAGGTTGCGGTAAAAATTTACTTGATCAAAGCCACTCAAAAGACTTGTCAGCTTGGTAGCTTGTGGAAACGAGGTCTGCAAAGTAGTTTTACTTTGAGAACTTCCACCGCGTTGCAGTATTTGATTGCATGAAACCTTGCGGCTCTCATCCGTACAAAATTAGTTTACAGTGGATAGTTCTTCCAAACTAGAAAATTTACTTTTGTAAATGGTTTGTTGTAGAGAATATTTTCTTCTCTACATATATTGTTGCATTACTTACTTATTCTAAAAAGTAATACAATTATTTAATTTTTTAATACTTGTTCCAATATTGTTTCGTGTGCAAGTTAATTTAATGTTTTATCCTTAATAATAGCTTGTAAGCTTGTTAATTGGTAATTTTCACAATGTTTATTAAACAAAGCAAATTTATGTGTAACTGTTTCTAGGTATGTGCTATTGTGGAAATTATTTTAATCCAAGCTCTTCTAAATCAAAGGCAGCAAGAGAACAGTAGATAGAACATTACAATACAAATTTTCAATGTTGTAATTATGAGTTTAACATGTTGCAATTCACTCACATGAAGTTCATCATAGACGACGATCCACTACGGTTAATAATAGATAGCAATCAATATAAATTGGTTTCTGGTTATTGATATTTGCCTTATAAATCTAACGGATTGTGGTTATCTAAGTTCTGGAACATTTAATTGATAATAGTCACATATTACACTTGGATAGTTCCTGATTGAGGAAGAGCCATGCTTCAGCACATTGACCGACAAAAAACATGTGTCAAGTTATGACTCAATTAAATTATTATATGTGCCTAACATTCTTTTGTTATGGACGTCGAAAATAGAATATGCAGAACACCTCAGCCTACTGCGGACTGAGATTAAATTTAATTTGCTGCACGGATGGCGTAGTGGTTTAAGCGGTCGCCACGCCGCTTCCTACTGCGCCGAGTGTTGTGGGTTCAAAACCCACATGGAACGACACTTTGTGTGATCCACAAATTGTTGTTCTGAGTCTGGGTGTTCTTTGTGTCCGTTTCATATATGTTTGTAAAGTCCCCCGCGATACAGGCATGTATTCCTACTGCGGAAGTTGTCTTTTTTATTATAAAACTAAAACTAATCAGAAACCAGTTGAAGATCATTTTTTTACTACATTCGGACTTCAAATACTATAATACATATTTACCATGTTATTTCGAGGCCATAAACTTCTATATCCCTAAAGTTTTTCTTCTTTATTTATTTCTGTGTGACAAACAGATACAGGATGATATAATAAGCAATTTATTTTTTAACTAGAAGTATGGAACCCAAAAAAATTAACAATACAAAATGTTTCTTACTTAGTAATAAGGCAACGGTACTAATGGCTCAAGAAACTCCTCCTTTGAAAACTCCTTTTGTTACTTTAACAAAAATGTGTTGTCAAAATCTTCATAAGATATTTTGAGGAAGTACCCTTTTCTGATTCGCGTAATTTCATGGTCGTTACTACTAGATAAAACAAGAAATTAAAGGTTAAAAAATGCTGGTTTGTTATTGCATTTTCTCGATAATTTTTAACATAAAACTACAGAAAGTTATGCAGCACGTTAAGGTTCGCGAAAGTCAGATATTGTATTACCTGCATGTTGCATAAAGCTTGGACGAAGAACACAATAGATTAAATTTGCGCTATAACTAAAGAACCGGCTTCTGTAGGCAAATCCTTTGTTTGAAGCTCAGTTAGCTTCCAAATTTTCAAAGGACACAAGAGCTCGATTCACTGCGTATTGAATCGGCTGTCGGTGTGAAGTCCCTTTTTCCACGTGAGTTCATAAATAAGGGAGGTGAGTATGCCGGTTGTTCTTAGGGAGGAACCGAAGTCTGTACACACTGTTACGATTAATTGAAATGAATGTAGTTTGAAACATTTATCATAGAAAAGTTAGACACGTTGAAGATAGATATTTATATACTTTTTTTATTTGTACAATATTTACGCATTTGAAGAGCCTTTGTGTATTTAGATAAACGCAACGTGTTGAGTAAAAAAAAGGGTTTCTAAGAAAGTATTGTATTATACCAGATGCAAAATCAATTTATAATATCTTATAAATTAATATGTGTCTGTTGTATCATACCTCCCCAAAGGATGGACTGATTTTGTATTTCTTGTTTATAAATTGTGTCTTAGCTATAATTCACGTTTTCCACGCAGGTGTCGTCTATTTTTTACACACCTACCTATTCGCTTTTACATTTGGATCTATGTAGATTTCGAAGTCTAATGTCAAAAGATACTAGTTTATATACCTGTAATGAAAAGTAAAGTAGAATATTTAAAATTTCGTATTTCATAATATTGGTTAAAAGTTAGAACAGTGGTAGTGTTAGAGGAACAGACATTAGATTCTTTGTACTAAGTATTAAAGTTATAAAGTAACTTAGTTGACGAGACTTCTATATATTCTTTTATTCTTTTAGTTTTGGATAGCCCAACTATCGAGGAAAGCTATCGAACATCACGGGAATGCCACGCTTATGGCGCATTCATCCCCAGGTATCCAGGTTGCGGGTCAGCCAGTTCTAAACAAAGCGGCATATTTTTTGTCTCCCTAATGCCTATTTTTTGTTCTCGTGAAAAAGGATGTTGCTACGGTGATACTCGTTTGCGGAAGCGAAAAATATTTATGGTCACTGCGTATCTGCCCCGAGGGAAATGGATGGAAAAAATCATGGTACTGCCGGAGAAAAGTAAACTCAAAATTAATTGAATAATCAAATAAATCTGAATCTACGATTCGTTTGAAATAAAAGAATGAGGGTATAGTTATTTTCACAAATTTTATTACAATTGAGCTATAATTTGATATATAATACAAATAAAATACATATGAATGTGGTATAAAATTTCCATTTATACGTTTCAGCAATATTTTTACCAAGAAAACAGATTAAAAATGTCACACTTAATTTCGGCCTTAGAGACCGTATATAAAAAAATGTCTTTGATAAGACTAAGACAAGTATCGTTTTATCCGAAGAAAAACTGGCAGCTAAACATATAGTACTTAAGTTCCACGTTCTTTGTTTCTTTTAACGGGCCACTCATACTCTCGAGGCGCTCGCTGACTTTTCATAAATTTTATGTGCCAACGAGAAAAATGAAATATGAAAAACGTTATAAATTGTATTGAAGAGGGCCAGCAATCTCAAAATTAATGGATTAGGTCTTTTACTTAGATTTTTTTTTAATGCTCTGTTGTGTTTTCGCTTAGGTATGTTACAAATTTCAGTTTTGCATATTTATGTAGTGAATGCCTTAGTATTTTAAGTTCATGTTGCCTTTTCTTTTAGATCACTACCTTTTATGTACCCACGTGTACGTCAATTATCTAAACAAACAAACTCACATTTATAATATAGGTTACAGGGTTCTGACTTTCTAGCAAAAGTTAATTTAAGTTACAGGTATGTCGCATTTCTCTAACTCAAACTGCTTTTTGCCCGACCTGCTCGAGGTATTGCTTACACTCCCAATCCATCCATTCCATAGAAACGAAATTCTTAAAGTTCCCCATTGCAGTAGACGTACCCCCATGTTACGTAAGTGGGTCTAAAATTATAGTCGGCAAAATTTGAGCGTTTAATGTGTCTCTTTCTACCCTTTCAATGTTCAATATATACGTGAGTGTATTTATACTTTTTATTAATCATGAAATGATAACGGCTATTGGAGACCAAAGGTAAAATAGTTAAAGGAGAATATTTCAACTAAAAATAAACTTCTTTCTGTTTGTCTTTGAGCTTAAATAAGTTCAAGCCGATATCATAATCATTTACATCCGATCCCTGTATGTAATACTCTGCGCAAAATAAAAGTTGACAGTGACAGTCCGTCCGTTAGCTTACTAACAATCACTCATAGTTATGGCGTAGGCTGGATTCACTATAAAGAATCACATGGATAACATGCATTCACTATAAAGAATAACATCAGTCATGAATACTCAGTTAGAATAAAGGTGCAAAAATACCCATCTCATTTTCAGAGTTGCTCTAATGATATTATATGTTCAATAATAAAATTCTGAATTGGTGAAATACAATTTTCTTGGATTTTTTCATTGATAATGACAAGGTTAGACTACGTGATGATGCAGGTCATTTATTCTGAATACGTACCTTTCAAAGGAAAGAGTGAGTGATATTTAAACATGACAAAAATATTATTGCGATTAATGAGAATCGCCTGTTGAAATATATTCTAATAAATAGTTGATTTTTCATAATCTGAGTCTGTAAGTAATCTGAGAATTGACTATTTTAGAGAATTAAAATAGAATCGAATTTAGCTGGGAAAGTCTGCATGTCGAAGGCGGATTGGATATGACCAGAGTTGACGGTAATAGGCAAATGGATTGAAACAGAATTATACAAATATTTTGTGTTTCTTTTTATTTTGAGAACAGCAGGTAACGTTACTAAAATGTGGTAACATAAGAATGACAGTCAGTGTCAGATATATCATATGTGGTATCTTAATATTGAGCGTCCTGAGTTACATTAACAGTTTGGACGGCATCTGACTTTTGTTTTGTATGTGAAATGAACTACTCTAAACGAGGCCGTCAGCCCGCCATCTGTCGTGATAGAGATGAAAAAGTGCAGAAACGAAGAGTGAATGTACCTAATAATTCTACCTACCCTTTTTATGTAACCAACCGTGATTCTTAAATAGTTGTAAGAAAGTATGCATTTTAAAAGTATTTTCTTCCAAGTTATATTAAACTGTCCGATTTTTTTTGCGAAAATTTTGAAATTTTCTGATGAATATGATAAACAAAGTTAATTTTAAAGCGGTCACGTAGTTAGTCTACCATCAATTTACTGCTGCATTATGAATTGAAATTGCGTTATTATTAAAATTAAGCTCGCAATTTCACTGAAGTTGTACTGTTCCATCTTACACGAATAAATTTGAAGTTTTCCTTTATGTTAGTATTAATACATGGAAATTAAAAGCTCGAACACAGAGTACGCATTTATCAAATTACTCGGAGTTGATCTTTTGTTCTAATTATTCTTTTTAGTTTGTACAGCCAAATCCATATACGACGATGTGTATATTATATTATCTATTACTATAAAGTATGCCCATCCAAAGGTTCCTGCAAGAGATTGTACACTTTAATAAGGTCGACTACTTTTTATAATTGCCTTGATTGTATCGTCTTTTTGGCTACATAAATAGTGGGTTAAGCTCGTATTTTGATTATTTTCTATTTGTTTTCTCATAACCATAACACAATACATGTTTGATTTACGTTCATGGCTACATAGCCATGAACAAAAAATAATGGGATACATATCCCATAATGTTGAACAGAAAATATGCAAAACTTTTTCTATGTATTTTTTTTAATTAGCGTTGTCGCCCGGTATGTTGAGCTCTTACAACAGTCTCATCAAAATAGTCGTTACTAAGTTCACTTTAAGAACTTACATTACCCATAACAAAAACAAACAACTTTCAACAAATAACATTATTTCAGTTTTTATTATTATTATAAGTTTGATCGAAAATAAAACTTAATATTTCTGTTTCTTTGTCTACAGATATTCGACAACCATTATCACTTTCATCACCATTCCATCACGAAACGGTCGATAACTCCTGCGCACGATCACCATTCCAAGCTAGAGGGAGACACTCGTGTGAGATGGGCGAAACAGCAGCGAGCTCTCTCAAGACGGAAAAGAGACTTTCAAACTATACCAGACCTTTCTTCTACAGGTATGAAATATAATCTCTTTGCTTCTGATTTTCTAGAGTAAAAATGGCATAATAGGTTAAACTGATATTTTCGAAATTGTAATAAATACATGAACCTTAAATTTCGAGCATTTTCAGCAATGTGAGTGACATGTTACTATCCATGGTTATGACATTGTCATTATGAGAAAAGTATCTAAATAATGATGTTGAATACACCCGGAGGTCGTTAGTATAAAGGATGTCCATTTTATTTAAGACTTTCTTTAAGATGGTAGAAAAGTAATACACACAACAAAAGTATTCTATTCTAAAAAAAATTTATTATTTTTTTACTCTGGACGTAGTAGTCCTTTTGTGTTATTGTTACCTTAACGTGGATGTGTATATCTATGTGTATTTTGTTGGCAACATGGCCCAAATACGAATATACTGATTGTGATTTAGGTTTTTGTTTAGACAGGTGATAAAATCGAGCATTCTTGACTGTAATTTAAAAAAAAAAACTTGGTCAGGCGTTCGAAGACTGCCATTTCTTTTATCGTAGAAGTGCGAGTGAGTCGGCGGTACTTTAAATTTCTAGCTTACATTTTTTTGGTGTATTCTAATAATAAGTTGAATTATATAGTTACCTAAATTACAGATCCTATGATAACTTTTTTGTCACCAGCTGAGACATCATCAGCCTCGGCAACAGCATCGAAGCGGGACGCAAATTCAAAGCGCGAGCTCCAACCGTCACGAGTGAAGGGACGGCCACGAGCCGCTGACACCAAGTTCCAGCTCAACGACCCCAAGTGGCCCCATATGTGGTATTTAGTAAGTGTGAATTTTCATTCTTATTCCCATTTGCATAATATTCTGGGATAATGGTCCAATATTAGTTTCCTTAATAGTTATAATAGCTAGCTGATCTAAATTTGAAGCTGTATTTGATTCCTATAGACTCCCTGAAGTCAAGCGGTTGTGATCCGCTTTATGCACTAATTTTCTAAATACCCATCTCAGTAAGCTGAATATACGCGTCTGATGACAATGGGTAGTCATATTTTGATTTTAATATCGTGGTTTCCTTTTAATTTTCCTCTTTTCATGACAATTTAGATATTTTTTTTATAAAACAAAAGAGTAATTTCGTAACACTTTAATTTGCTTAACTACAAATAAGCTTACATTAGGATACAGTAATTAACTAAAAAAAGACTAGAAAGAAAATTGAATTTGAATTTTTGTATGTAATTTCTTTTAAAGGTTACTTTTAGTCATGACAGGAATTGTATTTGAAAGTCGCAAAGTAACAATGAACAACTAACCGATTTAAGTGGATATGTAATTTTTTTGTGTTTCCCTCAACATTGTGTAACGAATAACCAGGTTTACTCAAAGATAAAAACTGTTCAATATTCATGAATCTTCTGTGGCTCGTTTCACTTTCACTTTCAGCTTTGAACTTTGTTTTATAATTTATATCTGTAAACAAGCTAATAAGCTGCAATGTTGCCCGTTAACTGCCTTGCAACGTACTGTGTATATAATAGGTTTATTGCTTATTATGAAATGTGCGTTTGTTCAAATGTTTGCTCAAACGTTCCTAGTCGTCCCCTTAAAGATTTCCTGGGGACGGTTTTCTGTTAGCACCACGCTTGGGACAAAATATTATACACCACAGAATTATTAAGATTAGATTCAAATTTGAATGTATAAAACAAACCAAGAGTCTTCTGTCGTTACACGGGTCTGAAATGGAGTTAGTCAATGTAAATTAATGTGTGGAAGAACATTTATTTACAAAGGTAGATAAATATGATGGATACCTGAACTCTGTTACCTGAATTCAGAAAAATTGTTAAAAATTGGTCCATAACCAACAAGGTAGTTAGATATACGAATAATAAGAAAAGAGCTCCTTCCTAAAAGGCCGGAAATGCGTTGTGACTCCTGAGTTGCAGACGTTCATGGGCGGCGATAGTCACTTTCCATCAGGTGACCCGTCTGCTCGTCTGCCCGTCTAACATAAAAAATAATAATAATAATTTAAGGCTTAAAATTATAAAGAAGAAAAACTTGCAATTTGAGAAGTTATAATTATGTCACAGCAAAGTGGAGATCAAATTTAAAACTGCCTTTATTTTCAAATTCTAAAATAACTTAAATTTTCGAAAATGCAGCCGTAAAAAATAATATCTTGTACAAATAAAATGTAAATATTATGAAAGGTCCTAAATATGCAACGGAGTGTGTATAGTTAAAATATAAACAATGGTTGAGCTATAATAATGCTACAATATCTTAAATACCAATATAATATAATAATATTTGTATAAGACCGTTTAATAAAACTTTATAGCGAAGAAAAGTTTCTTCGATAGAAAAGTGTATTGCTAACGGAAGTCCACGCTCCACTTTAATGTGCTATATTGCCGGTTTCTGAAATAACCCATTAAATAAAATGAATGCTAACATTCCAATTTTTTTTATTTCAAGAGAAACTGCATATAAAGATATTATAACTGGCCGTCTCAAGTGACGCACCAATTATGTTAATTATTTTAAAAGAAAAACAGATTAGCCCTTCCTAGAAAGGGAGTGCTGTTATCAATTAAAAAAAATATATTATTCTAATAAGAAGAAAGTTACATAAACGAGGATATGAATTAATTATAATTTTTATTAGGAACTGTATTATTGGCAGTACAGACGATGCCAAATAAAAATAAAACGATAGACAAACGCAGATTTGACACCAGACACCGCTCCGATTGACGTATTCTGGCGAATTCACTTTACGATATGCACTTTCTGCGATATGTGTCTAATGTACCTTATTAAATCTCAAATTACATCGCCTTTGACAGAATTGTTTAATTTCCCCAATCCAAAGAGTGTAAAGGAGTCTCATCATAGGGAACACAATACTGGTACTAGTATACGATTGCCATTATCATTGAGCTAAATCTTTCAGGCTGTCCTGCCAGCAACAGAGAGCCGATCCACTAGTCGTTTATTTCGAATCCGGTGCCCTTCAATCGCTGAGCCGTTTCCACAATCTGATTAACGTAGCTGGTCATACTATCACAACTCTCCAAACGTATTAATATTAGGCTTCGTAGGAGAGTGATCTTGCGCGTAAAACCAGAATCATCGAACAATGATTTTAATTTGGCCCACAAGGCTTGTACCGTGGCTTCGGTTTTTATATGGACAAACAACGACGGATCGATTGTCATAATTATTTTTGCCCTCGCCTTCTTATTTTCAGCTTCCGTTAGCCCCGTGGTGCTGGTTACATCTATGCCTTCCAGGATCATGAAGTTTTCGGCGGCAAACGCCCTGTCGTCGTAGTTCTCGCGTCCTTTTAATTTAGGAACGTTCACTGAGTACCTGACGACATTTTAGCACTGAGAGTCAAAAAAAAGGAACACTGAAAGTCACAAACACTAATTACTTTTTTACTTTTCGACTGGGCCCATAACCTAATGAAATAATAAAACTCGCTTGGCGGTTTTCAACAGACTGACTTTTATCCACAGACAACAAAAAGGAGTAGACAGATTTACACTCATATACCAATAGATTGCTTTAGTAGTATGATATTTCGTTAAAGTTGCAATTTATTTATAACAGTTATGCCTTCTCTTACAAACTCTATGTTAGTTCTTATGTTTGTTGTTATTAATTTTTTCCCTGCTAAACTCACATCTTCGCGTATGAATAATGGCCACGGTCTAATAGCGTCTTACAACCTGTCATTAAGTGCCTGACTGTTCCTATTTCCGCATAATATATAGTTAGTAATTCTTTTCAAAATGCAAGTGTAATATTTGACTTTTATTAAATTTAAAAATACTACCAACAACACATTGGCTCAGACGGGAGTAATGAAGAATATTATTAGAGATATCAAAAGCGTCATTTAGTGAATTTAGTGAGTTCTGAAGTTGGTTATATTTTTTAAGTTTGTGTGTGTTTTGTCACCTTAGAACTCCGTCTCTTTGGAACTGATTTGAAAACTTGGAAATATTTTTTAAGAGGTTATACTTTTGGTCCCATTACAATTTAAAGATGGATCCTCTGGATCCTCCTATAGATGTAAAATTAAGGAATGAAAAATTCAGTTTATTACATTCATCATGACTTAGGTGCTTTGAAGTTGGTGGTAACAGTTGTAAGAATAAGAAAATGAATAAGCATAAAGATATACAAAAAACAAGGGCTTCGGTGTGCATACAAATGTCGAAAACTTATTCAAATATTTATTCTGAGTAGAAATGGCCAAAGGAAAAATGTTTGAACAAGGTAGATTTCCTACTTTCCTTATTACTTAATTAAACATAATACTATGTTCACGGGGTTTCATTAATTATTCCCATCAAATATTAGCGGTGTAAATCAACAAGCCTGAAAGTAACTTATAAAAGCACTCATTTAGTTCCCTTCAGCCATCGGCGGATCGTTAAGGAAAGTTAAAATTTTATACAGCCGTTGTTTAAATATTAATACTGTAAAAGCCTAAAGTTTAATTTTAGGCCATTAGTGACAAATAGTTTTATCTATTGTTCAGAGCGAAACTTCATCACAATGAAAAATGTTGTAGAGAAAGGGTTGCTAAAAATAACCTATACAATAATAGCATAGGAATTACGAGTATCCTGGTGGTTTCTTTGCTATATTATATTTATATATATAACCTAAATGTAACATATAAAATTTGAATTTCTTAAAGTCTTATTTAAAATTGCCAATATGGGATGGGAAAAGATATCTAAATATTTTTCTGACAATACGTTTTAAGGTTTCATTTAACAAACTGATACAATATGTTCTGAAGAACAACTGTCTAAAAGAAAATAAACGAATGAACAGAGAATAATAAACCTTAATCTGATTAATTGAACTATACTTTCCAAGTATTGACATTAAATTATACCGGTATTAAAAATAGCGTGAATGCTAGTCCAAATTCCAGACTGCTAAATTTTCACAGATATGTGGTCGCCTGACGCAATTGCAAATAGAAAGTGCCTTTTTGTAAACAATTACATAAATACCTTTTCTCTTAAAACTATGGAAATAAATAATAAATAGCTTTTGGTTATATTTGGATCAGTGAACCAATTTCGCTTCGATGTGGGTGATATAAAAAGCAATTTAGTATATCTGCCACAACGATCCGTCTATATAAATTTCCAGTGGCTGCGTTGATTTCATGCGTGACATTTTGTATTCCTCTACGGATCCATTCCACCAATGTTTTTTTTGCGTAATTTTTAGCAATAAACTTTTTTTTTTTACTTAACTCTTGTAATTGTTTAGAACCGAGGCGGAGGCTTGGACATGAACGTTATCCCTGCGTGGCGGGAAGGCATCACGGGTCGCGGTGTTGTGGTCACCATCCTCGACGACGGCCTGGAGACAGATCACCCAGATCTCACTGCCAATTACGTAAGTACCCTTTAAAGATTTTACATTTTCCCCAATTCCTCCGGCTCTGACGTCAAAGTCTGTTGATGGACAATTACACTAGTCTTTACGTACAGATAATGACTTTCTTAGAAAATTTCGTCGTTTGTTTTGTGACATCAGTACTTTTGTATTAACTCCGTTAGTCATTATTTTCGAATCTTTTTAGAAAACAAGAACAGTACTTTCCGTGTGTGTCAAGGGGTATGTTTGCAAAACACCGATGAAATCAGAACGGGAACAAGTAATACTCGAGGTATCTGTGCTTTCACGATAAAAGGGCGTAAAGTGACATCTGTGCGCAGAACAAAAGCAGGAGAGTTTCAAATTACACGATTCATCTCGGCCGTAAGGCTTTAATTTCACTGTTGGCGTTCGGAAAAAATGGGTAATTGGGTCGTGGTTATGCGCAACGGCGATTTATGTGCCTCCGAAATAAAGCTTGCCTGAGGATTGTATGAGCATGTATTTAACACACACTTCACGTATTGTTTTCGAATACAATTAAATGATAAAATCCGCTACGAAGACTGACAAGCGTAAGAGGATAAAGTGCTTAATGACAGTGTACCGAAATGTTTTCGTACGCGGCGTCATAAGATTACTGTTTTCGCGGCGTTTAGAACACGGTGTTAAATGTGCTTATTTTCTGACTACATATAAATCTAAATACCCGTCTGGGATCTGGGTAATCATGTCAAAAGTCTTAATTAAAATTGGTTTTCTGCGTGACATGGTGTAAAAGAGTAGGTACAGGTGTGTAAACACATGTATATGTGTACATTTAGAAATGTCATGTCAAAGGGAACAAACTGCACATGACAACAACACTGCAAAAAGAAGGAAAACTTGAAATAAACCCTATACCAACCCGTCTGGCCAGCGTGGTATAGTAGGCCAAAACCTAAAAGGCCTATGCTCTAAGTTAAACACTTACGGGTGCTGAAGCGGTCAACGGTTTGATATTTGGGAATGGATACCGGCGACTACTTACTTTATGAATGTACCAAAATATAATACCTATCATGACATAATCTCGTGTTGTGGCTTTTAATGTCGTTGAGTATACTGTAGGTACTTATTTAAACTGTATTCTTTACCAGGATCCGATGGCATCATATGACGTCAACTCACACGACTCAGACCCACAACCGCGGTACGATATGATCGACTCAAATCGGCACGGAACACGTTGTGCAGGCGAGGTTGCAGCCACTGCCAACAATTCACTGTGTGCTGTTGGCGTTGCGTACGGGGCTAGTGTGGGAGGTAAGGCATAATCTTAACTGAAACAATGGGAGTTGTTAGCTACCTAGCTCGCTTAACAGGGCTTAGGGATCATCATTAATAAAAACTAGATTAAGGGTGAGTGGTTTCCATTGTTTACAAAGACTCAAAACACAATTTTTTTGACATGCATAGTCCTCTTCATTTAAGAGTACATCACAAATTCACTAGTGCATGAGAAACTCGAGTAGGATGGAGACGTTTTGCTAGTCAGGCTGGTATACATAAAACAGAAATCTAGTTTAATGTCAATGCTTTTATATTTAAATATATTATGTAATAACATCAAAGACGTATAGGTGTGTGGTACAGACAATTCTCAAAACAAAACTTGGGCGTCAACACATGACATTATACATTCAAGCAGTATTTCAGCCGTCTTACCACGTTATACAGCTTTGTTTATAAAAGAAATCATAAAAGCTTACGATGCGCCATAAAGAGTTGCACACACAGTAACAATAAACTTGAAAATTCTTTATTCCTTATATTTCTTAAGCACAATAAGCTCTGACTGTATGAGTTCTTTTAGAAGCTACTTTTTATGAGCAGTTTGAGTTGAATAAGTTACTTTTTACACCGCACCAGAGTATTATAACTACTTGTATTAGCTATAAAAAGTTTACTTTGTAAAGACAAGAGTTATTTTTAGTTTAAAGAAAGTTACCGTGAAACTTATAAGAACCCAACTTATTAACTGTTTTATAAGAAATATCTATTTATCTCAGTTAAATTATTAAATATAAAAAAAATATATTGTAATTAGCTCGTGTCTAAAGATATCTAGAAGATTTGATAGTAGTGAGTATAGTTGCAATATTTTATCACTTTGATAGGTTTAGACGATCTGCTAAAAGGTAACGTAACGTAACCGTCTGAGAATTTAAAACACAATACATGATATTTCAAACGTATTAGTCCAAAATAATTCCTAGAACACATGCTAATGGTTACATATTGATAATTTATTGACGATATGTGTCAATTTATTATTATTATTTATAAATTACATGGTTAAAAAAGACTAGCATCAATGAAAAAACGCTTTATGACTTAGCTAAGGAGGGGTCCTTAGCTCATACCAAACGTGTCCATGTAGCTTTTCAAAATTAGCCTTTCGTAATTGACCTTTAATATATTATTTGCATTTGCACTCGCACGAATAAAAATTCTTCGTAAATGTTTGTATGAATGAGAAAATGTAAAGTTTTCTAAAGTGTATCGAATGTTGCGATAACGGAACGCCTGCAGTAATGAAGTTATTGGTAGGTAAGGTTCGTAGCGAAGCGTATTCGTGTGAACTTATCATATACAACGTTCAACTTGTATTGCTTCGTTTGGTATATTCAAATATAAAACTTCTTCGTTCATATCATGATCGTTTACTATTGTTTGTGCATAAAATTGAATTGATAAGAATTGTTACTAACACTACACGGACACCGTCCGTGTTGTCCGTGTAGTGACGGATTAAGAATACGGAATGTCACTACCCCAATTCATCCCGTGGGTGTCGCAAGAGCCGACTAAGGGCGCAAAACAACGCAGGACACCAGCACTGCAAAAAGACGGAAAACTTGACACAAACCCTATACCAACCCGCCTGGCCAGCGTGGTACGAGTATAGTAGGCCAAAACCTTCTTTCTAAGGAGAGGCCTATGTCCAGCAGTGGACTATGAAAGGCTGTTGATGTGTTACAATTTTTTTAAGAGGTGACATCTTTAATGCTGGATAAATGCCTATATTCATTATGATTTAATTATGATAATTTAATTTGCAATAAGGTGATAATATATGCATATGTAATAAAATTTAGGATTTGAAGGAATGTTACAAGATAGTAGCCGTAGTTCCTTTAAGTTCGCATAATTTAAAACAGTATATTCTAGTTAGGTATTGTCAGAAGAACGTCATTTAAGACATTCAAATAATAAGATTGTGTATTTGATATAATTTATGAATACGGAAGTTTCTAGATTATGTCGTTTTGTACCAGTACCGCCCACGTTTATTTCAAGTAACGTTCTCTGAGATCTGCCAAGTAATAAATTATCTCAGCATTTGCACATTTGCAGAAATCTAAATTACTGTAAGGAAAGGCAAAATGAAACTTTCTCGTCTTCCTATGTATAAACATTATTTAGAGTAGTGTTTGGTTTTGCAATTTGTTGGGATGTTTTGAGTATCGATCTAATCACAATTTTTACTGGTACTTAAAATCTGGGCTAAAATAAGGGTTTATGTTGTATTTGGAACAGCTGCCATGTTTTAATTAAAGCAATTTAATGTTTATATTTTTTTTGAAGGGATTAAAAAAACGGTCAGGGCCACGCGTTGACAAAGTCACTTTGATGTTATAAATTCGAGATTATGTATAAAGAACTGCATTTATAGTAGAAACGCGTACAAAACTAAAAAAAAATTAACGTAAGACTGACTTAAGATTGTTAACTTTGAACTTCATAATATTTAAAATTTACGAAACTTGTTTCGAAAATTTGAAAATCCTGTATTGTATATTTTTCTTAACAGAAAATCTTTCATTAACAGCCTAGTGCTGATGGATTAAATGAGCACATTAGTACAGCTTACCGGGTCATTATCTAAATCTCTAAGGAAAAGTTTACAAGAGAAATAAATGTCTCGCGCTTAATCCATTGCTATTTGAATGCAGTGGTAGAAGAAACCGAGATGATTATTTTCCTTGCTATGAGTTTTATATTAGTAACAAGAGAGTTTATACACCAAACGTTGTAACCGCTTATCAGGTATATCATAGCTTAAAATATTTTGTTACCGAAACAGTTATCATTTACTACATATAATGTATCTTATCGTGTCTCGCGTAAAATGTTTCATAATATTTCGGGAACTTCGGTACTGTCTTGTCATAACTGGTGTATCAATTGAGTCAGTATAAGTAACAAGCATTAAAATTATTATCTCTTCAAACTATGTTTCTTTCGTCTTTTTTGACAGTTTTCTAAACAATTTTTATAATACAATATAAAAATATGAACACGCGATACAAACTCTGTCAATTATTTTCCTTTAGCTTCTTTAAATATTGTATGAAAGATTTTTTTCTACTTATACATAAGGCTTGTATGTTTAATTTTAAAGGCTAAAGCCTAACTTTAGAGATAGCATTCCAGTTAAAACTACCCTCATTACAGAAATAATTAAAGTTAAAGATGTGGCAGTTTTCCTAATGTCTGATTGTTTTCACAGGCGTTCGAATGTTGGATGGTGACGTCACAGATGCGGTAGAAGCCCGATCATTGAGCTTAAACCCTCAGCACGTAGACATCTATAGCGCATCATGGGGACCAGATGATGATGGCAAGACTGTGGACGGTCCAGGCGAATTGGCGACCAGAGCATTCATTGAAGGAGTTACCAAGGTAATAAACTTTGTACTTATCTCAAAGCAATTTTTTTACAACTACCCCCTAACCAAAAAAGCTTTAAAAATCAACAACTACTGATTAAGACTGTTAAGATGGCTGTAATTTTCTGAAGAGTTAGCTATCCCGCAGACTACTTGATGCAGCAGCAAGTTCCAGGTTACCATGTCGTGGAAATACCATCAAAGTAATAGTATACCAAATTTCAGATCAATCAGGGCTGTGGATTTTAGTGCGATCCCTTCATCATCTAGGAAGTGAGCTAATGATCTTCAAAATTTATAGCTAACAACCATCTCGATCACATCGGCTTTCGAACAAAAATATCCGCTTCGACATTGGTCCATCCTTTCGGGATCTATGATGCCACAGACAGACAGATAAATACACAGGTTAAACGTATAACACCCCTCGTTGTCCGTCGGGGATAAAAAATAGATGTAACGCGGCAGTATTTAGGCTGGTTTGTAACAAATATTTATAATATAAGAGGTTGTATATATTACGATATTTTAATTCAAATAAGTTTTAGTAAAAATTTGTATATTAAATAAACCTGTCACTGAATTTAATAGGAAAGGCAGCCTTTGGCTAAATACTGTTTCAAATTCTCGTACATTTTGAGATAATTTCCGTTTACAAAGACATTACTGTGATTCATTTGCTATGATTCAGTCCTTTATTGTATTATTTTAAAGATTAAGTATTGTTGTAGTCAAATCAGACACTTATGTGAATGCCTCCTTAACCTTTTAAGACACCTGAGGTTCTTAATACGACACTTCTTACCGCAAACTACGAGGCAATTCTTGTCGTGTGCGTTATTTATTACACACATATTTACCATCGTCCACCCTTTCAGCTTACGCTTTTATTCACGTTTTACGACACCCACGGGACGGCACACTAGAGGAAACGATGACACTGTTCGCAAAACGCAGACTTTCAGGTTCTGCTAGAACATGTTGTATTCATACAAAGTGATGAAACTTCACTTTTTGTGTGGACAGGTTATTATAAAAAATTATAACAAATATCCATATTTTTATTTTATCACATCTTAAACTGATGAAGGAATGAATGAATACGTTACAACATAAATCTACTTAGTTATTTGAATTATTTAGGACTGAACATGATTTTGTGAAAACGAAAGAGATTGTGAAACTTAAAATTGACATCAAAAGTAATGTACAAACGGCGGCCTTATCGCTTAGAACAATCACTTCCAGGCAACCTTAGGATGAACTGTAATCATATTTAACTGGTAATAGCCATAGGTGCATAACTAAAAGTTTGTCAATATATATCTACTTTATATGTATCATACATAAAAAAACTATCCCATATTTACATTAAAATACTATATGTACATAAATGTATACATGTACTAAATTTTATCTGCGAGTAAGACTACTGTGACAATTTAAAGATTATTACGCATTACGCTCGTCTGACATCGACGGGTAATGCATTCCATAAATGAACAGCTTCTAATGAAAATGAATCAGAATTAAAATTGGTAGAATACACTGTAATTTCCAAACTCAAGTTTTCTAAAGATCTCCAATATTTTTAATGTGTGTCATTAAGGAACTTAGAACGGTATCTGAAGTATAGAGGAGTTAATGGATTAACAAGATATTATGCAGAAGCATAAGGATATGAATGATGTGAATAATATGTTTACAAACTGATGGTATACATCTGAACTAAAGCCACACCTTACACAAGCATTTAGCTTAATTGGAAGAGTTAACTAGATTACGGGTAAACTGGTAAAGTGTGATCCAGGTCACTAGTAGCGTTTATAGAAATGTGCCCTAATTATGTAGGCTGTTTGATAAAGGCATAACAGTCTCAGAATATACTGATGTTCTAGGTTAGCAGCATTAAATATTATTCCGACATCCAAGAGAATTTATACTGAGAGTGTGGTTATGTGGATGTCGTGGCCAGGTCACACGCGTAGAGCCGTTTATCTAGTCATGTGGCCAGATCTTAAACTTTACTACTACTACTTGAATTATTCGACCGTTTCATGCTATATTAGTATTTCACGACTGTGGTTACTAAAGTATTCATTGTCAAAACCCGATTATCAAGGAATTTGTTTCGATTGTTCGTTTGGTGAACGTTACATGAAAAAGTCAGCATTAATATTTAACTTATAAAGGTTTTTATACCCAGTGCCCACAACTTTCTGACACAAATTTGTTGCTTTAAATTTTTATCCCCTATTTCATAATCCTTGTCATTTATTTTCGATACATAGTGTAGCTCTTGTAATTCTCTAAGGTCTCCTCTATCGCCGTATTAAAATAAATCAATATTATATCAGTATAATAAATCAAAATAAAATGTTTAAGAACATAGTGTAAGTTTACGTAATAATGAGCTATATTATTACGAAAATAAAAACAATAGTCACCTATTATAACCACATCCGACTTAACACTAAAGAAATCATGAACAAAAGGTAGCTCTTTATATACCCATTAAAACATAAATAGGACCATGTTCACGTTTATGTTCACACACGTCCAACACCTTTGTGTTGGACGTGTGTGAAAATGGCGCTTCGTTAGTTAAAATCGGCTATAGAGCCCAAGCTGAAGATTTAAACTAACGAAGCACCTAGTAATGTGCATCAAATAAAATTTGTCTGTCTCCGTACTGTTAGTGAAGGCACAGAGAGACGACCTATATTTTTCCTAACAGAGACAACTAATTCCGAAAGTAGAACAAATGAAACTGACTAAAAATATTACAAAACAAGAAGTTATAAAAGAACCGGGTTCTATTTTTCGTTGTTGTCAAATGCGAAAGCTTAAGAGTTAGTACTTTCATTAGCCCACATTGTATGAAATGGCCAAAGTTGTTAATTCATAATGGTCTATAAACTAAATTTTTGGGTCGAAAATTCCCCATCCCTCTATTAGCCCTTTATTTAGTTATAAATTAGCCTGTGGAATTTAGTTATGTTTCATTTTATGGCTAACTTTTTTGAGATCGGTGAACGATAACAATATAATAATTCGATTGCAATTGAAACAGAATATAAATGTAAAATGAAATGTTTTAATGGGGCATTCAATTTTGAAATATTTGAATTTCGTATTTTAAATAAGTTACTAAATGACCATAAGTTCATTACTAGAGTTATTTAATCTATGCCATGCTTACGGATTAATATATGGCCTCATATGAGAAAACATTCTGTTCAAGCTTTTTATTATTTAATACATAAAACAATGCTATACTGACGCTGTTTTGTCGTTATTCGACTATATTCTAACTGATATTCTTATATCTTAGAAAATAATAATACCCTCACACATCTCACACACGGCTGTCTGATCCCAAACCATAGTATAGATTTACAGTGACTTTCTGTACTTACACTATATTTAATGTGTCGATTATCCTTGCCATTATGAAAACTAAAAACTAAATTTGCAACTTTAATTAGTAACTTAGAGTAGAGCGAATAATATTGACACTTATTTGGTCACGTAAAAGGTATTTTTTAAATCCTTTGTTAAGTTACATCTATTTTGTAAATGAATCACTGAAGGGTCCGCAACCAACCACGCGGCACTTAGCTAACGCAATTTCTACAATGACGCAATTATTATTAGTCCCTATACCGCACAGTATATAGCTAAGTACTGGCAAAGCATAAAATCTACATAATAATGCTTCCACCCTAAACAGCATTTGGAGCTTCTTCTTTGCATAAAAATTGTTTTGATAAAGTTTAAACGGGTTGCTTCTGTTTTCATCTGCGGTCTTAAATGTGTAAAGTTAAAACTTATTTTGTGAGTCGACAAGTTTTTATAACATATTTACTTAATGTCTTCCTCCCTCGTTGGTGCCGTGGCAAAAGTTTACGCTGTTTAAGCAATTGTATTAAATAATGTTATTTTTAAACTGGCAACCCGTAAAACCTTATGAAAATCCGTTCGATACTTTTAAAGTCTCTCTGTCTGTATGTTGCCAAAGGTGTACATTTAACGTAGAACATGCAGCATACCACGCGTATCAAAGATTGCTTGTTTTCTATAATGTGTTCGTGTATAATGGGTTGAGGTCAAACAGATGCGTGATCTATTTCGCTCCAAATGTGACAAGAATTAAAAACGATTGATTTCTGCACTCATCACGCAAACGCTTGGTATTTACATTTCTTCTACCGAATCACATCGTGTAATTCGGTCCTACTGTACACGTACCAACCACGAAGTACTGGTCATTATCAACGATATACGAGTAATAGCCATCCTTAATTAATATTATTTAACGGGAATTAACGCGATCTCTTATTTAGGGTATTACATACCTCTGGTTTGCCTGACGTTTCGACCAGGTTGCACCGGCCGTGGTCACAGGCTGACTGGCTCATCGGCGCACGCCCTCCGTCGTCGAATCCGTGAAGTAGAAGGCTCTTCATCTACCCGCACATTTTCGATATTATTTTTGTGTCGCCATGTACCGTCACATACCACACTAACAGTGTCCCTATTCTGTAAGCAAACCGATGAGTCCCTATTCTGGTGTTTAACCGATTGCGCAGAAAAGCGAGGTGGTATGTTTTTTAACACTGGATTCCACGCTGTAGATAATTTAAAACCATCTTCCCGATTGAAAGTTTTATGCTTTTTAATCTCAATCGCTTCACGTACAACTCTTGAGTAAAAGTGACGTTCGGTGGAGAGGACTTGCGTTCGGTGAAATTCAATCCAGTGGTTGATGCCTGCATCGAGTGCATGTTCTGCAATCGCTGATTTGCTCGTCTGTCGGTTCTTCACAGCAGCGATATGCTCTTTGATCCTTTCTGCAATAGTCCGCTTAGTTTGGCCTATGTATGAGCTTCCGCAGCTGCAGTCTATTTTATAAACACCCGGAGTTTGTAGTGGCAATGTATCCTTCGGTGTGCCGACGATGTTGTGAACCTTTATGCCTGGTGTGTATACTGTCGGAATGGAATATTTCTTTAGTACAGACCCGATCTTGTCCGTAACTCCCTTGACATAAGGCATATAGGCCGGTTGCCTGTTCACTTCTGGATACTTGCGTCTTATTTTCGGTTGCTTCCGTCCTCCTTTCACTTGATATCCGTTACCTTTGAGTACCTCCTGAACATGTTTCAGCTCCTGTTCTAAATGTTCAGGGTCACAGAGATCGTAAGCTCTGTTTTTGAGTGAAGTCATAACAGATTGCAAGTGCCGGGGGTGATGATGAGACGTGGCGTGTAGGTATCTGTCCGTATGAGTAGGTTTACGGTACACACAGTGTGACAAGGACCCATCCGATCTCACGGCTACTTTAACATCTAAGAAGGACAACGACCTGTCTGTCTCCATTTCATATGTAAACCTCATTTTGGGGTGAATAGAGTTCAGATGTTGTATATATTGATCCACTTCTTGTTTGTTTCCTTTGACGATACTGAAGATGTCATCCACGTATCGCTTCCATAGCTTAACGGTATTCGGGCCGAGATTTAAAGCCTTCTCTTCAAAATGTTCCATCCAGATGTTGGCCAGTACTGGGGCTACAGGACTTCCCATCGCGACACCATCAATCTGGAGGTAATGTTGACCTTGGAAAAGGAAATAGTTGCCTTCTAAACAGTGTTCAAGTAGATCCATATAGTTTAAGGGCAGCTCGTTGTCTCTCAGTAGGTCTTTTACGACGTTTAGGCACTCCTTTATTGGAACATTGGTGAAAAGCGACTCCACGTCAAAGCTCACCATGACGTCATCCGGTTCCAACGTCAGATCTTTTATGATTTGTATGAAGTGCCGTGAGTCTTTCACAAAAGACGGTGTTTTGCCTATAAGTGGTTGCAATACTGAAGCAACGTGCTTTGCTAGATCGTAAGTAGGAGAAGCAATTTGACTTACAATCGTGGAATCCAGTGTTAAAAAACATACCACCTCGCTTTTCTGCGCAATCGGTTAAACACCAGAATAGGGACTCATCGGTTTGCTTACAGAATAGGGACACTGTTAGTGTGGTATGTGACGGTACATGGCGACACAAAAATAATATCGAAAATGTGCGGGTAGATGAAGAGCCTTCTACTTCACGGATTCGACGACGGAGGGCGTGCGCCGATGAGCCAGTCAGCCTGTGACCACGGCCGGTGCAACCTGGTCGAAACGTCAGGCAAACCAGAGGTATGTAATACCCTAAATAAGAGATCGCGTTAATTCCCGTTAAATAATATTAATTATCATGGAACGCGAAAGTTTAAAAGTTAGAATAGCCATCCTTGTAACGCAGAGTGATTTTGCACAAAAATTTGCTGGCCTAACGATTATTTCCTGTTATTTAATTTATAGTATCAAAACGTTTAATTTATTAGGACCATTTAGATTTTTTTCTATAAATAACAAATTTTAGTTTCAAACTATTTTGTTCTATGGGTCTAAGAAAAGTTTTTTATTACAGAAAGAGGCAAATTACAAACTTTACATGTTACTTACTGTGGTACAGTGGTTTGCATACATATTCTACCTGAACAAACAGCAACAGTTGTACTGTACTCTTTTCAACATAGACTGTACTTTATACGCAACGTTTAAATAAACCAGTATATCGTTGATGTCATGACAGACTAGTGGGACTTTAGTATAGGATACAACGTTTTGACAAATTAACGCATCTGCCGAGTCATCATCTCCAGAGACTCAAACTGCGTAAGTGCAAATCTTTTAACTGATTTTTTGGAGGTATATATTTTAGTATTAAGTCGATACGAGTTTGTCGTGTTTTATTTAGCAAAAATCACATCATAAGCTACTATTAACGTGCTAGTTCATATGATAACAGATAGTAGCAGAGCAAACTAAAAGTATCGTATTTTTTACGTTATACTCTTTTACCAAATATAGAGACTTCCATTACCATTATTTCATTCTTTTCTAACACACATCAAAACAAAAGAAAAAACAAACTCAGCTATAGAACTAGGAAAGTGGAGGCGTGAAGCGTGCGGCATTGCAAATGACACGACATTTGAATATGTGGAGCGTAGACGCGAGCGACGCGGCTTATGCCTCCGTATATCATAGCCACGACTCACTATCACTGGTTGATGGACTTTAGTATGTACTCCCATTCCTGCCTCGTGGTGTTCAGTACGCCAATCCTTCATCCTCAAAATATAGTCAGTTTTATTCACTAAACCGAAACAAGTAACAAAATAATTTTTGTTTTTTCTTTCTAAATGAAAGAATAAACAAAAATTATTCTGTTTATTGTAACTATGTGCAATTTTTATATGTATTTCTTAGTTTACTTAAGATGTATTTTCTCATACTTAAATAGGTATGTAAAAAGGTAATCAACTAGATATTTTGATAATGTATCCATCATACACAAAAAATATTATAGATCTACTGTGGAAGCTAATCCGAATGCTACTGTAAAGCTCGCAGAAAAAAATATTAATCTCTTTTTTTTCAAATACCGTGTAAAGAAAAAATGTCCATCAGATATTTTTACATTTTTCCAATCAGTCAGGATTTTGGGTCAGCTAATAAATTTCATTCATTTGTCACGTGATTAGAATTTTGAATGAGTTGCCCACAGGCAATAATAAATAAATCTTCCGGGAAAAACCTTAATACTTTTAATTAAAGTCAATGTGGCTTAAATTCTCCAAAGACCATTCTCCTTGACCCTTATCAACTAGATTCAAGTTCGGCCTAAAACTTTCTTAGTTCTATGGTCCACCTAACGACCTAATTGATCCATTACATGCTGCTAAATACAAGTAAGATTAAGTGGCAGGAGGTTGGTCGAAATAGATTATTCGATGGAATCTGATCCGTTCTATTAAGCAAATACGTCTATTCAATACAATATAAATACTTTTACTTTTGATAGGTATAGTAATTATCCCTACATACATATATGTGTAGAGATAGGTATTAACGTGTGAGTTAAACCACTGTGCAGGTATTTTTTGGAGTTTACTGTTTAAGAATCGATTTTCATATACAGAGCCCGGTATAAAAAAATATCAAGAGAAAAATTTTGTGATCGAATGACCTCGCTACGTGTTTTGTGCGCAATCTATTGTTATAATATAAAACTTGTATACTTGTGTGCAGTCGAATCGTTCTTAAGGAGTAAACTCGAGTCGTGCGTCGGAGCAGACACACACTTTTTTTTGGGTAACCATATATTCATATATTCGCACCTAATATAATAAGTATAAAGTAGGCTATCTACTAGTTTAAGACATCATGTATAATTTGTAGATGAATTAAAATAGCTTACCTTATTTTATTATAATAATAATAATAATTATAATAATTGCTTTTTTGACAAGTTCACACTGGTCACAGACTGATGTCATTTTCATACATCATTCTCATACATACGAGAAAATTTAATAAACTTACTTGATGATTTACCACTTAGTCTCATTTGCGGCATGAGGTTTCAGCCTGATAGTTGCCCTGCGCATTATAGGAGCAGCGCAAAAGAACGGCTGGATTCTAATTATCGTAATAAGTGGATCGAAAGAATCTTTAGAAAAATCTTAAAGTCCAAGGTCTAAAAAATGGTTGGGTTTGGAATATGGTATTTTATAGTGAAATCTATCAGGAGTTATGGCAACTACAATAATCATATAAGTATCTAGGTCGGCTTAACTAGTAACCCTGTATATACATAGTTATTTATCACGGTAACGGTAAGCTGAAGTCTCTTGTTCGACTTTCCGTTCCGTACAAATGTCTGTATGTGTAAGAAAAGAAAGACATAAATTTGTTTATTTGTTTTGGCCTAAGTACTTTGACGAAAAATGTACATATTGATTGGTTATAAAAAGTAATTGAATTTTCGCTTAATTGCGCTGTCTAATATCTCCTAATATATGATTATCATTACTTGACATACTTACTTTTATAATAAATCTACTTAACAAGGTTACTATGACTGTTTCTGATACGACAAACAAATCCACCAATAGTGTCTTTTTTACAAGTACGACTTTTTCTAAACTACCCTTAAACCAACAACAAATACGTAGGTACACCCAACACCGCGTTGCCAATAAAAACTTCAATTTCAAGAGTCGTTAAACACTAACATAAGATACATCTCTCAAAGCTCCATTCCGCAATAAAAAACCGTACTTGGAGCTCATTAATGTCTTCATTTCCGCAGGGTCGTAACGGCAAAGGGTCTATCTTCGTGTGGGCCTCAGGAAATGGCGGCAGAGAACACGATAACTGCAACTGCGATGGTTATACAAACTCTATTTGGACACTGTCGATATCGTCGGCTACGGAGCGGGGAGAAGTGCCGTGGTATTCGGAAATGTGCAGCTCGACTTTAGCTGCTACATATAGCAGTGGGGCTATTAATGAGAAACAGGTAAGTACTACTTCTTATAAATAATGTGTTTCAAGTATTACAACTATGTACCTATATTAACATTGATTACTCATATTATAAAGCGTGCTTTAAGCCGCTCAAAATATAAATTAACTATATATTGAACTAAAACTGGGGATCAGTAATTGGCTTGCTGTTGCAAACAAATTTGTCAAAGCTGTTGGTTGGTTATTCCTGAATAATTGCAATAAAAATGACTGATTTAATCAAACATTCGATGCTCCATCCAAATAGGGCCTTAGAGCCATTAGAAAATGCATTATCGTGTAAAATGTAAGTTTTACATTTGTTTAAATTTCTTATGAGAACATTTTCCGCTAGTTTGATGAGACCATACCTAATTATTTTAATCATTAATTGAAATTGAAATAAAGCCGAGAGATAGAACTCAAATATTCGGCCTAGGACGTCTATTGTTAAACTATATGTTTGCCATTGATACGCCATAAAACGAAATCAGTTATCTGAATCTTTTATTCGATTTCAGTGTCGATTTAATCAAAAAAATAACCAGCAGTAATTCACTTTGCCTATTTTTTATTGATTTTAAATCTATTATAAAAAGTAATATTACTTCTCAAAGGCAAGAAAGAACGCAAACTTTAAACTGCCTTTGCCGTTAAAAATAATGTTCTTCGAAATGAATATTGTTTAGAAGCAAGCTTTTTATCTCATTTGAAATGTGGATCTCTGAAATGCTCTTATTATTCAACATTGTTATGATGTATATAGTCAGCATTTCAATCCCTTTAATCAGCGTTGAGGATGCCCTCAACGCTGATTAAAGTTTATATTTAAAATATACTATACGCGTTAATCACATGAATAAAATGAACATAAGATATCATGACATAAATAATATTTACAATATATTCGTAATATTCATGAAATTGGGAATCGAAAATACACTTGCTAGGTATTGTTACCGTTTCTATTAAAGGCTCCACTATTTTACTCATTTGGAACTACCCTTGACTCCACTTATCTCAAAAGAGTTAACTTACCTTATAAGGTAAGTAAACAAATAAATAAAAGTAAGTTATAACTTACTTTTATTTATTTGTTTTAAACATTATACACTTGTAAATATAATTTACATCCCATTTACAGCACCAGTACAGTGCAGTCATTAGGTAAATAAAATAATGTCATTTGATTTATACATACGACGTGAATCACAGTACAATGCAAGCGATCCACACAAACTAAGTTTTAGAAACTTTTGGGGCGAACAAAGCTATGTCTAGTAACTTTACTGTTGAGTAAAAGTAACGATTAGACGTTTATTCAACCTGCAAACTCGTATTGAGAAAGATTATTGATTGGCCGATAAGTAACGGTTGCTTTTATTCGTCTATTCTAAACTTACAGGTTGCATATTCATATACTCAAAGTATCAATGTTTATTACTTTATCGATGGTACTTTATTAATAATCTTGAAGGCTTTCAAAAATTGCAAAACATATAAATCTAACTTGGCAGGTATTTCTTAAAAATCTTGGTACTTAATCTTGGAAAGATTGAGATATTTCAAGTGTTGCAGTGAGTATGCATCTACGATCTATAATGATAATAATTTCAAATATATATGCATAATATTATTCTGTCAACCATTATCATTAGAATACAATTCACTGAGTCGTGATACCACTGCACATTTTGTATAGGACTACTGTACAATGAAAATGAAAAGGACGCAGCCATGCTTGATATCACTTGTCTGTAAACGGCGACGATGATAAATCAAATTATTATTTTAAACAGTCAAAAACAGTTTTTTATGTTTTATGTTAAGCTTAATAAAATATTTGGAACCATCTCGCGATGTAGCTCAATTGGATACAGTTCGAACCACTCTAATATACAATTCAATTCAATTTAGTTTTGCTTCCTAAAGCGGCTTTGTACTACTAGCGCTGTTTGTTTCTCGAAGCTTTAAATATACTCGTATGAGACAATCTCATTACAGAAATACATATTTTATTTGATTCATTTTATGTTTATGTAGGTATATGCACAGCACACTATTACTGTAATTGTAAATAAATCCCGTATTGTCTTGTAAAAAGGTGATGCCGAGATAACATTTCTAGTATAGCTGTCCTTTTGTGCTTGTGCTTACTTCTTAACTAAGTTGTAGAGAAGTAAATCTTATTATATTATATCATACTAGCTGTCCCCAGCAACCTTGTCTGCGTCTTCAAAAGCCATAAATTTTCACCGTTTTTGCAAAAAATTTCATTGAAGCTATTGCTCGTAGCGTAATTTTATATGGCCCATAGCCTTCCTCGATAAATGGGCTATCCAATCCAGTAGTTCCTGCAGTACGAAACGAACAAACATATAAGCTCTTTGCCTTATTTTATTAAAGTAGATTTTAAAATCTATGGTATCGTTACGATCCGGGAATTCGACAAAAAAAGTAGGTGATTAATTCCAAAAATTGGCACTGTATTTATAAACACACACTTTTACAAACAACAACTTAAATAAATAACTTCTTAGTTGCTGTAAGAAAACGCTTAGGTGTTAATCCGCTGTCTCGTAAAACAATACTCGCCCGTACGGCCAACACACTCCGTTTTTATAGGGCTGCCGAAATAACTAGAATAATATCTAGGATTCGATAGAGCGTTCCAGATAATAAAAGAGTTTCCAGGACCAATAACCTTCTGTTACCCGACACTAGATGGCGCGGCAAGTATCGGAATTATGAATCAAAATTTCAACTCATAGTGTTTGTTGTGCTTTACTTTATACTAGATGCCGCTATCCGTAAGATTCCATACGGGTCTCGAATGTTAATAAATTAACGACTCGCCATTAGAACCATTTAATCCTATGGTGCACCAGTATATTGAACATGACATGTTCAAAGGGAAGAGATTTCCAATTCGGTTGTATTGTATTTTATGTTTGATACATCAGAACGCCGTTATTTACAAACCTAAGAAAAAATAAGGAATGAATAATATAGTTTATCATGATTTAGATTAGGCACATTGAAGGCCGTGATACTTTTTTTAAAGTTAAATATCGACATCCCTCTCCTGGGTGCGTATGTGACGTCGACAGAAATCGTCTTCATGGCATTCTAAAATATAAATAATTTCAGTATGTAAATTAAGGCAATACGTTGGAAGATACTGGTAAAAAATCCTGCCATTATATGTGACCACTTGCCATTCGTGAGCCATTAATGGGTGGATGAAGATTAATTGGCTCGTTATTGACTCTTACAGTAATTGCTATGCAATGCCAATTCTGACATATTAGTCTGCTATTCATTTGGTTCAGCTGTATTTCTAAATTAGCTTTTGCCTGTGACCTTAATCACATTAATGCAGATAATGTCAATCAATTCATTTGTGTCTTCTAGAAAAGTGCTTTATGTAATGAAAATCTTATTATTATGTTTTCCTTTGAAAATCAGTTGAGTAATCAATAAGTTCTTATTAGCAATTTAGTCACGATAGTATAGTAGTACTACGGCCATTTGCAAGATGTATCAAGTTATTGCCATACTTTAACGCATACGAGCCCGCTCGACCGGAGTGGTACCACAACCTCACAGAAAACTGCGTTAAGCATTTCTTTCGATGCTTTTCACCGTTTGGTTGAAGTTACCGGTGGTCAAATCGCTCTCAATCATCTTCAAAGGGAAACAAAGGGCGGGAAACACACTTGTTACTTTTCAGTTGTAAGTGTCCATGGCCGACAGTAGTAACTTATCATCAGGTATACTATACCATAAAAAAATAATAGGTTAGGCTAGTTATTAGTTAATAATATTAGGTAGTTTCTAAATAGTTTTCTGTTATTGTAGGTGGTGACCACAGATCTCCACCATTCCTGTACAGCAGGACACACAGGAACTTCGGCATCTGCGCCGCTAGCTGCAGGCATCTGTGCCCTTGCGTTACAAGCCAACAGAGATCTTACGTGGAGAGATATGCAGCATATAGGTAAGTCAAACCTATTTCTTAGTGTTCCATGAACTCACCGTGCGAGTGCCGGGTCCATCGCGTGAAAGATCAAGAACTCCTTATGACGCGTCATCCTCTACCTATTTACAGCCGCCTATTTAGAGCCTAGCAATGCCGCTTTGGATATTCGTTTAAAGAAAGAGCTTACTGAAGCTCTTGGCAATCCAAGGTCTTTAAGCAGGTTATAGAGGGATTTAGCTGGTATACCCCTCGCACCCACTTCCACGGCATACAACGCAACGAAATAACCATATTTAGTTATTTCATTGGTTAAGTCAAAGTACTTGTTTCTTTTAAAGCGTGGTCTTTAGGGACGTTTGTTTCCTACGGCGCCGTGAGTACTACGAGTAGTACTACACGCTTAATTGACATTGCATAAAGAAATATGCCTGGTCTAGATGCCGAGGCACAGATATCCTCCGGTATTCTGAAATAATTTTCTTACGTGTCCACTAATAATGTCCACTCACTGGCGGTATTTATAATTGAGTACGACTTTTCTAAAATCTTTTTTGTTGAGCCTTCCTTTACAAACTCGATGTTAGTAAGAACTAACATCGAGTTTGTTATCGTCCGCCCTAGGGCGACTTCTGCCCAATATGGGTGGACCCAGCGTCGCGACAAGACGGCTGTACACGGGGGTTGTCCGGTCAATGGCACTGTACGGTGCACCGGTGTGGGCGGCGGCTCTGACCGCCCAGAATAGGGTACGCCTCTGGCGCCCTCAGAGGGTAATGGCGGTCAGAGCCATACGCGGTTACCGCACCGTTTCGACGGAGGTGGCGTGCGCGTTGGCCGGAACTCCCCCGTGGGATTTGGAGGCGGAAGTGCTCGCCGAAGAATGTTTGTTGTTATTCCTTTTTTCGCTCTCGCCAGTGATGAACTTATAGTATCGCGTATGATTTTTAAAACCCTATCATCGCGACGTGAATAATGACTCCAGTCTAGTAGCGCCTTACAACCTGTCAGTAAGTGCCTGGCTGTACCTATTTCTATTCATATATCTATTTTCTGTAAAAGTGAGGATCCTGAATGGAGGAAGGAAGAAGAGAGGAGGGTATTTGCATCTTTGTTGTTAATTTATTATGGTGGAATTAAGCTTAATTTATGAAGGAAGCTGTTTATGATTGAAATTGCGCTTTTAAAGTAGGAGCGTTTTTATTTTATTAATGTAATTGTTTTTTTTTTTAATCTATAACACTTTGGTTTATTACCTGTAAGTCATCTGAATACTCATATTTATATAATTTTGAAGTTAGGTTGTTGATAAATAGAATATTAAATTAAGAATGTACACCTTATTCTACATTTTTTATCTTCATCTAATAAAGGGTAACTACGAATCTATTTCTGTAACTTACATGACCTGGGTCAGTGGTGTATGATTTAGTACTCAGTTTTTGTGTTGCCGGGCTAACATTTAGATACCAAGCCGCGGCTGTCTTTTAGTAATGTAATTAGTTTATACCAAGGTATTCTATAATTATTTCACTTTACCTTTATCAGGGTACAGCCAGTCCTTGGTTACCAGTTACTAACCTGGTACAACATAATTAAATTCAATAGCAACATCTCATTATAGCAGTTCCACTTTAAATATAAAGCAAAGTTCCAAAAGCAGTAAAAAACTTGCAATGTCGGCATATTTTATTACAAGAAGTACTCGTAATATGCATTATAATAAAATGTAGTTTGGCAAAGTATAACCTATGATCTAAGCGAGTTACCGCCCCACCCAACCAATAATTCGCGCGAACCGTCAGTTGGCAATTTTCTTTATGGCTTTCCGAGGTATTTTTGTCGACCCCTCACGATTTCGTTTGTAAGTGAAGCATGTCAAAAAGCCCATCCGTGCCATTATTGGAAGTCAGAACTAGTTTCCACCGATTTAGTGACGTGGTTCCGCGCATGCGATTTCTGATTGGTACCACGTACCAGTACGAAAGTTTTTTAAATATTAGAAAAACTTTTATTTTAAACTTTACTTTTTAAAGTTTAGTTTAATCTTTCTGCCGAAATTTAAAGATTATAGTTACTTCAGATTTCGTTGTAGTGCTGAGTGTAAACGAATTTAAACAAATCTAGTCAGATTATGTATGTATAAGTATGATTAGTATTGCCAAATTATGTTGGCTGTAGTGCAACCAAGAAGTACATTTTATCTTGTTGTATTTCTGAAAGATAAACAAGCTATTTACGTAGTCAACCATTTACAATTACTTCCCAATTATTACGGCTATTTGCAGAAGTAATGTAACCAAATATGTTTCTACGATTTCGTTAATAAATTCCTATTCATTATCATTAATAGGGTAATTGTCAAGGAACTATTCTGGGAATACAACACTGTCGTCTCTCAAGCTACTGAAGCCTAAAAGTTCCTTAATGTCATACCAACTCGAACTGGAAGGCACTAAGTTACGTAACGAAGTTGTGAAACTACTTTTCTTTTTATTCGGCCCCATTTAGTTAAGTAGGCATGTTCTACATACAGAAGTGCTCCTTTTATTCATTCGTTTATATAATACCTGCTTTTGGCCGCGGCTCCACCAGCGTTTATGTCGGATATTGCGGTAATAAGTAACCTATGTTAACTCGCTGATACTACCTTTCCATTGGTGAAAGAATTTTAAAAATCGGTTTAGTAATTTAGGCGTGAAAGCGTAACAAACTGACTTTCACGTTTATAATATAAGTATGGAGAGCTAAAGAGTACATATTATCATATTAATCGTGCAAATCATGCATCAATGAAAAAGTCAATTTTTATATTACGTTTTGTCCCCTTGACTATTCATTTGATGACAATTTGTATGTGCACGTTTTTTTTGTCAAAAATAACTTAACATGAACGTTCCTAAAGACTCGTAACAAATATTTTTTACCTTAAAATGATTGTGGAGTTTTAAAAGTTCTGAGTGATCGAGGTCAAAAACACAAAATACAAATAAAATATAGGTTACTTCGAAGCTGTAATGATTGCCCAGCCAGTAATCCTAACTCTCTAACTTTTTTTCTTTTTTTATAAGACAAAAGCCAGCGAAAGATACAAACAGTTCGTAAGAAACTAAAGGAGGTCATGAATCTGAAAATATCTAAATAGGTTCTTTGTAATTTAGATGTTATACATAGTTACGAACCTACTTCATTTATAGCCTTTGGCGTTCAATCTGCCTCAATGAATAAGATGAAGCTTACGACGCAATCACAGCCTTTATGATTCACTGGCTCTCCTAGCTTCTCCAGCTCCTGAACACACAATTTACTTCACATTTTCTCGATCAGTGAGCACTATTTGCCACGAGCTTGTATTTCGAATTGACTGAACACACTAGCTATAAGTATTCTCAAAGTACGAACAATTAAATTCCCCCTTCTCCCCTAGTGCAGGCTTATATGAAAGCATCAAATCGACGATTCTGTCAATAACGATTATTAAATAAGTTACTCTATTACGATAGGTTCTGATAGCACAACGTAGATTGGTTGTACGGAAGCTTATTCTAATGTTATCTTAATCTTATTGTTGAAGTGTATTCTTGTCTTGATCTTATTAGCGGTAAATAGAACGGAAATAAAACCTTTAAAAAGTCATCAACATACTTTATTAGGTAACATTAGGTGTAAAGGTTAGTATTGTTATTACAAACTTTTGTTTTTCTTCGTGATTTGAAATATGATATTACTAAACCCTAAGCTTAATGTAACGTTAAATAATAGTACTTGTTACACTAATACCTAATAGAAATAATTTTTCATGTAAATTCTTTTCTTCTGGAATATTTTAGCTTTGAGGTTTATTTAGAGGTTTGAGGTTTAGAGGTTGAGGTTATTTTATTTTAACAAACAGGTTTAGTTTCATCTCATGTTTGTAGTGTGGTTCAGTAACAGTTCGTTATTTCCATTCTATTAGGTATTGGGATAGTCATAATCTATAATTTGAGTGTTATGAATACGCCATATAATTACAGGTTAATATTCTGCCTTCTATACAATTGCTTTGAAGGGGCTATTTTTTTTGTACAGAACTAATAAAACTAATTTGTAATGAAACGGTAGAGCTCTCTTATAGCTATTGTTTTGTTTATGAGTTTTGAATGTGTATACCACTCAATCAATTCGTTAGGCAGTGAAATACGTTAAACGTAAAAGCTACTACAGATTGGGTTTTACGGAGAAAGCCAGATTCAACTGCCAATTAAAAATTCGGACATCGTAAGAATTTTTGGGAATAAAATATTAATAATGTGGGCAAATCGCTTATACAGGTTAAACCATAAATGCTTCTGTTAACAACTGCAGTAGAACTACCTTGGATTGTATAGTATTTCTGTTGGTCATAATAGATATCGAAGGAGATGATGTTTGTTCGAATAACACCGTAGGTATTGCAAAGTGTAGCGGCGTATACGTCTATGGGACGCCGGTAAGCAGCTCATATCACACATTATTAAAAAATCAAGAAAGTATTTGAGGCCCTCGTTTAGTCTCGCAACATGTGTATGTGTGCGTGATTCCTACAGTCTTTCTTACTGTGGTCGATATATTTATATTCAGTTTTACGTTTATAGTGTTATCTTTTTCTGGATCCTACTTAAATACAGAAGGTAAACACTCGTAATAAGTTCAGTCGTTAAAAATTCAGTTCCAATCTACTCTCGATCTCACAAATGTCATAAAGGTATTGTCGGCAGACTAGCAAAATGCCGATTTAACTTTCGATCACAATACGATATAATTACATTATAATGAATATTGGATGTTTAATACTTAACTGCGAGGATACTTTGTATGACATTTGAGAGAATTTTGAACGAATTTTAATTACAGGAATTGATCACCAGATCTACTCAATAGCAAGCATGAACGTTTTTCCCTCACGTTTGGTATGACCACTATAAATGTTTTGAAATATTTTCTGTTCTCAGTTCTTTGTTTTTCTAAACAAGATGTCACTAATACTACAATCGAATCGGCGTGTAGTTCTAATAAAAGAAATTTCTTTGACAGTGGTGCGCACAGCAAGACCAGAACGTCTGAGCATCGGCGGTGAATGGAAGCTTAACGGTGTTGGTCGCAACGTATCGCATTCCTTTGGATACGGGCTTCTGGACGCTGCTGGAATGGTTCGGTTGGCCAGAACTTGGCGAACCGTACCGGCGCAAAGAAGATGTGAACTAGCGGCCCCCAGACCACAACGGGTTGTGCCGCCGAGATCTTCTGTTTCCTTACAGGTTAATTTATGTCAAATAACTTCCATTGGCTTAGCATTGAAAATGGAAATTATTATAAAGCTGCAAATGTATGATAGAAAGATTAATCTGTATATCTCATTGTATTTAAAAGGCAGCTAGAGTTTACCGCATTTGGAACTCTTTCTCTGGGTGTTTCTCTGAGTTGACAGAGAGCTATAATATTATCAATTTCGCGTAATTATGTAAAAGTGGATAATTTATTAGGATTTGTCATCCCTCATAAGGATTGCCATATAACGATTTACTTCTATTTCAGTAGGTCATGGCTCTCTGTATTTTGACCTATGCAAGAAATAAAGTTGTTATTAGCGAGCTTTAATATTTTAATGTTTAACATTATTCTGTATTCTATAGTTGGACGTAGGAGCTTGTCCCGGAGTCAACTATCTAGAGCATGTTCAAGCACGGGTTTCTTTGTCCGCCGCTCGTCGAGGAGATCTCCGTATATCGCTTACATCACCTGCTGGAACTAAGGTCACTCTGCTGGCTCCCAGGTAAGTAAATCGCTTTTACTCATCTATGGCAAAATAATTAGTCAGAATTACTAACTTAAAACTAGACTAATTAAGTTTTTTTACTAAAACCAAACGTAACGTACGTAAAAGTGTAAAAATATTGATTTACTGTAGTAACGTATTGATTATAATTATTCATAAAATGCGAACATTTCCTTGATAGAACACAATGAGTATCATGCTACTATATATATATTAAGACTGGCTACTATTTGATTGAACATATTATAAGGCGCTAATATCACATTTTTGCATATTAAAAAGTAACTCCGATATCCATAAAATTATGACGTTAATAGTCACTTAATGCGCCTTAACGTGTTAATACAGCGCTCGCTGCGTGTTACTTCCTCTTGTGTTTATTCCTTAGTTTGCACGATGCTTTTATCTAATTTACCTTTACATAACACGTACTCATGACAGATTCAAATAAAAATTGGAATAATGAGCCTTATTAGGATACAATTAATATAACTTTGTGTTTCCTACGTACATGCCGTTTACCGTGTGAAACTCCTATTTATATTGACAATGCATTTGAATTATAAAGTAGGTACTTTTTACAAAAAAGCTGCTAGGTACCCAGACATAATAACATGTTATTAGACATAATAATATATTAACCTTAGTTAGATATTTATCTAACTAAGGTTATACCTAAACAATCTCTATAGCTACACATTTTGTTAAGCAAGAAACAAGACGCTAACTAGAGTCTCTCTAGAATACGAAAGCTTGTAATTAGACAGTTAATTTTCTGGCAGACCGCACGATTCATCGCGCGCTGGTTTCAACTCTTGGCCTTTTATGTCTGTGCACATGTGGGGCGAGTCGCCCCTGGGCATCTGGCAACTAGAAGTCACCAATGAAGGACGTTATATGGGTAAGTAAATTTATAAAATGAACACACTCCAAATTTATCCCTAAACTTTGGAACGTTTTACGACCTCATTCTAAAAGGAATTGCTTGTTACAAACCCAAGGATGCGATAATTTTTAAAGGCTATACCAACCTTAAAGATGACCAAATATATGAAACTGTTTTAGAGCAATTCTGCTAAATTAGTTTTCCTCAGAACGATAATGGTTTTAATATTCTTCGTGCACAAATGTAGACGAAAATTATATATTCATATCTTCTACATCTTAGGCCGAGCTTCGTTACAAGAATGGTCTTTAACATTGTACGGAACTAGCTCGCCGGCAGCTAAAAACGATCCGATACCGTTCCGGAATCCAATTATACGGAAAAATGGGAACGCAACTCGACCTGTTGTACTTCAGTCTGGGCGCAAAAACAATAGAGGTAAATCAATGCCTATCGTGCCAACGTACACAGTGGGCTTGGTGAAACGAAAAAAGAATAAGAATTCGAAAAATCCAAACAAGAACTCACAGAAGTCTAAGCAAAGCCGACCCGCGACGCGTTCGCCTATTGAAAGCACAACGGCACGAGTGAAGACATCGACTGCAGCCGATCTTAGCCTCAACCTACGGGCAGACCTAACTGATCCGTTGGCAGCTGCAGACGCCCGTGGTCGGAAGATGTCCAGCCTCTTTGAGCAGTACCCTAAAATACAGCGCATTTACCCCGCGCCGCTACAATCCCACGGTACCAAAATGCTCACCGCATTGCATGTCTCGTGTCTGCTGATTCGTTTTGCCGCGACGTTTCATTTTACAGCTGCGTAGTTAAACCTGCACGTCAATTATCTTTGTTCGAGACTGCGCCGCTCCTGCATGTATGCATTGTATAAATTTTGTTTTGCAGCAAAACTTATTTAACGAAAAAGCATCGGTTTTAATTAAATTTTGTTCTCAATTTAAGTAATTATCAGTACCCGTTGTAGACAGAGTGGCAGTTAATCTAGTTTACGAATTTTCAGTTTGTTGTGTAGTTGTGTTGTTATTGTAGATGTTTGCTATAATGTGGTTTTCCAAAATTTGTTTACCTGCGAAATTGTTTAAAGACTTATCGATTGTCACGCTTTTGTTGTTTTCGTACTTACTATTTTATAAACTAGCTTTAGACTTCTTATTTCTTGCCTGTCCGCTATTGAACCCAGGCTGGTACCCACTTGTCAATTTGATGAAATCTATTGGATTAGACGAATAAATTTAAAAATGTATCAAATTATGACATCTATGAAGACTTAGGGAAGTTGACTTGTACTGTTATTATGGACTTGAATAATTGATTAATTCAATAATAATTGACAAGTGGATAACTATCTAGCGAAATATCGTTCGTTCTCACTCACTATAGCATATTTTTTCTTATCATATTATTATGTTGTATTTGTCTTATGAGTATTAATACGCACAAAGTTTTATAAGTATTTATATTTAATGCAACCATTACGCAAAACCTATAGCAATAGCTTTTATTTTGACAGCGGGACCTCTTACTCAGTGGGAACTTATCTTCTACGGAACTGAGACACCTCCTCAAGAATACGACGCGTCTCCTGATTCTAACACTTTGGGTGGGGGAAACAACCTGGCCAACGAGGGAGCAGGCTTGTCTAATGAGGGAGGAGGAGCAGCGCCCCCGCCATGGGGTGCAGTCAGTGACACCGACTCTAGCGAGGACGGACATTCAAATACGCTCGGCGAAGACCTGACTCTCGTTTCGTGGCATTCGCATACGGTGAGCTCCTAGTTTTCTTTACTTCAGTCTTATAATAGTCAGAAAGAGGCCATTAAGCTTATGCCTATATGAAAAAAAAAACAAATAACGGCCTCTGTGGCGCGGTGATCGTTCATCTGACTGCCATGCCATGGTCGCGGATTTGATTCCAGATCAGTTCAAATATTTGTATGCATCAATATGTCTGTTTACATTGCTATAGGATTTTGTATATAAAACATCTGAATATTTTCTAAAAAAAAGTATTTCTGTTTTATCTGCTTTATTTAAGTCTGAAAAGCGATGTTATGTTGGAAACTTTTACTAAATCTTAGCAAGACTCCATAAGCACAAGTGGCTGAACAGGTTTGTTTCGCTTGGCTTGTATTTGCTTGAAGAAGTTTGCCGATCCAGTTGGGTATCGGTTTCGACACACGACGTATTCACGCGCTTGTGCCATTTAATGTGATCTCCCATGGTCTTGCGTTGGGTGGACGCGGACGAATGGTTTATCTACAGATTCCCTAGACTAAAAAGAGATTCCTGCGGAAATAAACTATATCCTATCTGGGATGTTAATGGGCCAAATAAACGAATCATGCATCTCCAATCCCAAACATGATACCATAAAAAGGACGATATAGTTTTTCCAAACACAAATGCAATAAACTTATGTTTACTACTTGGTTATTTTTACTATTAAACACATGTATTGGTTCAGACATTATATTTTGTTATCCAAGGTAAATGTTTAGCGAAATCACAAGCCTGTATGTGTGGATAAAATTATAATTATAATCTTGCATAATCTTATCCTTACAACAATAGAAATACGTTACGATAATATTTAAAATACCTGTGTTCACATGTGAACTATATATATTCAAAACATCTTTACAAAATACAAAGATCAGACTTACTGCCTTGGTAGTGCAGTGGTAGCGAATACGACTGGTGTGCTGAGGTCTCTGGTTCGATAGTCGTCGCACCAAATGGTGTTATGATCTGCACATATTTGCTTCGGAGTTTGGGTATTTTCTATGAATAATTTGTATGTATTTACAAAAAAATATATATAACTGTTCGTTCAGTCAATCTAGCTTTCATAGTACAAGCTCGCCTACTTTCAAACTAGATGGCGTTGTGTGTTAGATGTCCGAAAATATTATTATTATCAGTGGGCTCGGCTTTGCCTCTCAACAGCCAGTTCAAGTTACAGGTATCCAAGCCAGATTAGCTCGAGCTGTTGCTTGCTGACACCTCCCTTATCCATTCGAATAAGCAATATCCCTTTCCCTCTGGCCGTCACACCATCGGGATTAGCGGTGGGGCGTTGTATCGGAAACGACCCGACTAAAACCAATAGTGTGTCTAATCTGCGCCTTAAACAGGAAGGACCTATGAATAGCCGTTATAAAGACCTCCGGACATTCAGAGCTCCGGAAACATAAATGACCCGAGAGATTAAAAAATACTCCAGAATTAATATCCTTTTTCTACCATAACCTTTCGTTTTACCTATCTTTCCTTCCATTATAGTCCCAATTTTCCCAACTAATACCTAAAGTGCCCGGTTGACGATAATGGCTTGTCCCATATTACGTAGGTAAGTTGAATTAAAATTAAAGTCGGCAAACGTGGGCGTTAAGTACGTACATATTTGTCTAATGTGTAATTTCTGTTTAATACTCGTAATAACGGATGGGCCTGTTGGTGTAGTGACCCCGATCGCTAAGCCATTGGTCGTGGGTTTGATTCCCACCCAGAACAAATATTGTGTGATAAGCATGGGCATTTGTTCTGTGTCTGGGTGTAAATTATTAAAAATATGAATGTATTGAAAAATATATAGGCATGTTTATCAGCAGTCTGGTTACCATAGCACAGACTCTGCCTTGTTTAGAATCAGAGGGCCGTGTGTGTTATGTGAGGTATATTATTAATATTATTTTGACCAACGACTTCGCCTGATAGAATATTAATTCACAAAGAGACATCTGTAAAGGGGGTAATCTGTGGCAAAGAGTCACTGAACCACCACCACAAAGCGTAAAAAACAGTTTTAGAAACAAACAAATATGACCGCTGTCATTAAAATTGTGTGTGTACGAACCGCGTCATAAATCTTTGTTAATGGAGACAGCGTTAAATATAATCTTTTGCAAATAGCCGCGAAAAAATCATATGATAACCCAGGTATTATATACCGTAAGAATATGTTTTCTTAAATTCGCTTGTATACCCATGAATAATATGGTAGAATACCGTCCGTGTAACACATAAAACGTTTTAAGCGATAAGTACACGTCGCGTTGTGGCCAAAGCAGATGGCTCGCTGCTAACTCATGTTGTAAAGTAGCGAAATGTTGGGGAATTTTCATTTGTTTCGTATTTCAGTGAAGGCTAACAATAATATTGAGTAACTTGGTATTGTTTGCTCGTTTAAAAATGTAGACAGTGTCGTAGATGACGTAAAATAAGCAGATTGGTAAGAAATGGTGAGTGGTGGAGTTTAGCTCTGGATTATAAGTCCGCCAATGCACCAAATGTGCATGATGTGTAAATAAATATAAATATAAAAACTTAAAATTGCATCTCATCTTTTTTCCTAGTTTTATGCAGGGGTTCTGGAAATTAAAAACATAATCGTGAATTCTAGAAATTCAATCAAATTTGATAAGACTTATTCGAAACCAGCTTCTACCCGCAGCTTCGCCCGCGTGGATTTCGGTAACAGTGATCCTTTTTGCGCCCAGTTTATATTTGATAAGATTTTTTGGACCTCTTCAACAATATTTGTTATATTTCAGTCAATTTACACAAAACCATCATGAATTATACACCTAAACTTATCTCAGGAATCACACTATCTTTTGTTGAAACAGTACAAAAATCCGTTCATTACTTTTTGAGTTTATCGCTTTCATACAGACAGACTGACTCGGGGCCGGGGGACTTCATTTTATAATATGTAAGGATCTTCTTGTGACATACGTAAGAGTGGAAAATAAATATTTAAAAAATACTTATAAGATAGTCTTTTTATTACTTTTTGATGTAAATGTCTAATATTTTACTTGAAAATTAATAACAAAATTGATTATGTGTATAGAATTGTTTCACTTTAATTTAAAGGTTCTTTGAGCTGAATTAAGCCAAATTACCTGTGGGGTTTAGTCTAAGACGTGTAGATAGCTGCGTAAATGAATTATGCGAGGTTTATAATATTTGGAGTAATTTATCATATTCAGGGAAAATTTTAATATGAATTTACGCAATACAAAAAGCAACTGATGACCAAAAAGGCCTTGACCGATGTACTCTCAGATTAAATTTGAAAAATGGTACTTTCAAGTCCTTTGTAACAGCTGGTGACACGTGAGGCACCAATAAAGATATTACCGGCTAGCATGTCACGTGTCGCTAATGGGGACATATACTATTTTTACAATACAATAACTACTAAAATAGCACCCATTGCCAGAACCACAACTGGTAAAAAGTACTCTTACTAAATATTAGAATTAGTAATAATACCACAATTCCGTGTAGTGACGGATTAAGATTACGGAAATTCACTACCCCAATTCATCCCGTGGGTGTCGTAAGGGTCGACTACAACTGCGCAAAACAACGCAGGACACCAACACTGCAAAAAGAAGGAAACCTTGACACAAATCCTATACCGACCCGTCTTGCTAGCGTGGTATAGTAGGCCAAAACCTCCTTTCTAAGGAGAGGCCTATGTCCAACAGTGGACCAGTAAAGGCTTTTGATGATGATGACTAAATATTATATTTAATGTGATACTAAAACGGTGATATCTTACGGAAAACACTTCTGAGTATATAGAATATCAAACTAACCGCTTTAAAGTCTTGCGATAACTTTATGAGAAGCAATTTTTTTATAAAAATATGGTTGATTTTCTGTAATGACGTGTAGGGTGCGTCGTTTTCTGGTCAGAATAATATTCTTACTTCTTCTTACTATAAAATTAAAGTAAATAAATCTTAAAGAATTAAATTAAAAAAAAGAAACAATAATTTTTAATTCTAGAAATTGCCAGCGCTGGTCTGACTTTTTGATAATAAACTATGTATCTATATAATTTATATCATAATGTTAAGTTGGTTAGTGTACGCTTCAAAAACTCAAAAGTTCTGCACCGACAGTTCAAATGCTGACATGGATTGTTTTTATTTACTTTTCACGTCAGTGTTTCATTCCTCCTTTCTCATCAATACAATCAAATGTGCATCAGCGAAGCGTGGCAGACTGCAGCTAGTAATTATAAAGTTGTAAATTTATCTATACGAAAAGTATATCATTGATTTTCATTGTGATAAATTTAAAATTATGACACAGTAATGCTTTTGGAAAGTAATTTTCGGTATCGAGTTAGCAAATTAACAAAATGTTTTAAAGAACAGATACTACTAATAAATGCGAAAGGAAATGAAAAAGAAACAAAATGGACACTACCTATGTTATACTCGTTATAACACTTATAAATAAAATAGTTTTGGTGTAATTCTGTAATAATCGACTCGATATTCTATTTCATTGTTATTTAGACGTTGGACTCTTCTGACACCGAGACAACAATTATGTTTCAAAAGAGGTTTTTGGTACGAATATTTAAAATTATATGGTTAAGTAAATAGCGTAGTTAATTGTCTAAATAATATTTTTTTATATTTACGAGTAAATGGTAAGAAACTTAGACACTAATGTTCTTGTAAAACTTTGGAATTGATATTATTACTTAGTTATCGTTGGTACATACCTACTTTTGAAATCGGTAAATACAATACTTTTTTAGTAAATATTAATTATGTTAAAATAATAATCTTAAAATAGGGTAGTTAAATAGTAAACTAACCCGTAGAACTTTAGATTTATACTCATTGAAACATTTTAAATCAATATCACTTCATCGATTTAACTAAACTTTAATTATAAATGTTATAAAGAGGTATTCTACGCTAAAACTGTACCTCACAGAATTAATTTTATTGGTGTTAAACTTTAGCGATCACACATATTAGGTATATGTGTGGATCTGTGTACACATAGGGATTTAATCGTGATTAGAAGGTGCAATAAGTTTTGGTTACCCGACGTTAAAATAATGAAGACCAATGCGGGTAGTTGTCTATCGATCTATTGTATCTATCGGCTATCGATAGTATTGTGAAATTCATATACTATCGATATTTAGACTAGTTATCGAGAGTCAGGCGGTAGTTAAGTAACATTACTCGCCACCGCGATCGGTGTTATTTGGTCTAAACATCTGGTAACTAAAAACGTATTGTACATTAAAATTATAATCGTGATCAAGCCTTGGTTTACACAACTAATTTTATTTCGTACTTAAGGAGTGGGTACACAACTAATTCTAGTTAGAGTAAAATTGCATTTTGGTATTTTGCTGAATATTTGAATCTAACAATAATGATATATTATTATGTAGTTTTTTTTATTTCTTTAGATAAGCGAAGACAGTCCACCCGAAGCGGGAGACACTGGCAGCGCAGGTCAATACACAGGCAATGCGTCAGGTTGCTCTACACACGCCCCAGAGTCACCACATGCGTGCCTAGGTTTGTGCTTATTCATCCTCCTGTTCATGTCCGTGGCCGACGCGTTGCGCCTACAACATCCTAGCCATTCTAGCCAACGCAGACAGCCTCATACACTTAGTACTAAGTACGATTATGCACTAACCCCTAGCGTAAGGTTAGCATTAAAGGGCGCAGAGCCACGGCCGCCTCGAGCGCCTTGCTTAAGCCGTCTAATACCGAACTCCGCCACCACGTTGAGAGCCTAGTACTAGCTGCGACTTTATGTGATTTTAGTTAAATTTACCGGGTTTATATATAATAAGTACAAGCTGTTATTATTTATATATTTTTAAGTTAAGAGATGCGTACCCGTTATTATTGTAATCCTACCATATGTATGGCTGTATTACTGTTTGCAACAAATCTAGGTAACTTGATTTGTCTTTTATCACTATTATATTTTTTAAACTCGATTCATGTAGGAAATTGAAAATTTCACGAACAGTGTTTGGTTTGGGAGGCCCTGTATGTCATCATCACCTTTTTAAAGATCACCTCTCTCTTGGAAGAAATTTAATTACTTTTACACACGTTACCAGTTTTTTAGAAAACTTACACAGAAGTTACTAATAATTATTTTCCCATTACTAAATTTACTTTATAGCCATGCTTCCTTGTTTATTGTCTTTTTAAGCCGTTCTTTTTTTCATAACTACTTTACAATGCTACTAAAAATGTTGCATTACCCCATACATATGGCAAGACATACAAAATTATTAATGAAATGTAATAATATGAACATATTAATGTCTCGTACTTAGCCCTTCAACTCAGCTTTACTTACAATGAGGGATATGCCGCAGTAAAGTTCAATTCTAATAAAATACCTAACTAATATTTGTTACATGATCCCTTCTTGTTTATAGTACTTTTTTTTTAGTTTTACAGTTTATATCTGAATTGTCTTCATATATAGGTATTATGTTTATGAATTAAGTGCACTGAGAGATGTTTCTAGACTCATAGTGGACAGAAACCCGTTATTGTTATGGATGCAAGTTACAACAAGTAAAAATGTTGCGCGTCAACGTTATCAGTCCTATTTACGTCAAAGAAAGCTAATTTAATTTGGGAATAAAAAAGCATTTGCTTTTTCTTTAACTTGCTCACTTGTAGATGAGATACTTCATAACAGTTACACAAAGTTTTAAGATTTAAAATCGTGGTACTTCATTAAAAAAACGTAAATTTTACATATTTTATTTTGATTAAATCTTAAACCAACACTTTATTTGCAAAATCTATGAAGAGCTAGTGAACAAGTGCAATTACGATTATTAATAAATAATGTAAAATTACGATATCAAATCGGTAACGTCCATTTTTCGCGAGTAATTACAGTGTAAATGACGAGAATGTATGTGAATAAATGTTTAATGTTTACGTAAGATCAACAGTGTGTGTAACTTAAGTGATCGTACTTAAAATTATTTGACTGTCACTTATTCAGTAAAAAAAATCCAATTCCTGCCTCGAAGAAAAAAATGTATGATTTAGATTATTTTTGTTTAAAAGAGCGTTTGCACTTTATGAGAAAAGCAGCTATGTAGAAGTACCGATTACATTGAGCTACGATACCAAATGTTATCGCATTTATTGTAAGCTATATGTGTTTTGTAAGCTAAATAATTTGTTAATGAACTTTAGGTAAGTAAGTGATAGGTTAAATTACTTTAGGCTGAATTATTTGATTTATTTATGACATATCGTTCTATATTTTAATAGTTGAAGGCTTCTCAGTACTGTATATCATGCAGCTATATCTATATTATATATCTGTATGGAGTAAACGCACGTACGTACTTTTAAACATATCTATTACATTAAGTTTCACGGTTTAACTGTCTTTATTCTATGATGAGTTTATCGTAGCATAATAAAATGCTTGTCACGACTTCACAGTTGACAACTTTGAACATGTATATGAACTAAAATGGTTCAACTTTGAAATTAACTGTGTAACCAGAGTCCCACGTTGCACTTCACGCTTCGTTGATAAAAAATGATCGATTCGACACCTTCTTGATTGTTTTTTTTTACAACTATATGTGGTCTTACCATACTTACACAAGTTTCACACTGACCATGTTGTTAATTCTCCTTGTTAAATAAATACTGCTATATTTTCTTAAATTCCATTTTTCAGTCAGTTCATGCCACGCACGCTCTTTATCTTTGTTTAGTACTTAGTAGTAGTTTAAGTCACCCATATACTATGTGTAAAAGCTGCGTCAAAAACAAGTTAAATAGTTATTATTATTCAAAGACGAGATATGACGGAAAAATTATGGGTAGAAATATGTAACAAATGTATTTTTGCTACGAATAACAACAAGATTTTTATGTTGCAATTTTTAAAAAAATCTCAGTGTTCTTTTTAATTTTATTAATATAGTATAATAAACATTCAAGTTATCTTACTGAACTTTAGAATGTTGAAATTTAATTTGATGGTCATTAACTAAAAAGAACATTCGAAACTCTATCAGCTTAAAGTTGATAGACCGTTAGCAGCTTACCATAATGTGGGCCGTGTGCTTGTTTCTTACTTCAATTGTAATATTTTATATCCCTCTATATCACAAACCCAGTTGATTTTTAGCTGCTATCTGTTATAAGTTAAAATGGTTTACAGAACATATTTTAAAATATTTTATACAAATGTTATCCTTTAATAAATATTTATCTCTTCAAATTATTCACTTTGAGAACTTCGCCAATAATTCACATGTCACGGAAGTACACGGTACACACATTACAGAAATTTGTTTTCCTAGTTTGAAACTACGTGTGATTATTCACTGACAAATTACAAAGTTGAATTAAAGCATAGATTAGTTTATAATTTAGTTTAAGCTCAGACAAGGACTGATGGTCCTGTGGCAGAAATTATGCTAAGATAACTGACGCAAACCAATGTAGTTCTCATGTCTTTTGGATTTTACTCATAGGTTAACATAATTGCATATTGTGGTTGTGATCGTAGCGAAGATTGCCAATCCATACAGCATAGGATAATGTTATAATAATTGTAAATAATAAGTAGATACGATATGATATTAATAAATTTGGAGACTTGTACAAATTTGCTCACAAACCTGTAAATTGAAAATGACTGAACAATCATGATTTCTGATCGACTGGTAGTTAAATTATTGTAATTTTAATGTAAATTCAGTGAATATTTTAATAGCCCAAGTTTGAGTTTCTTTTTGCAGTCCATCACTCCGAAACTTGATTGATGTTAGATTTTACTGTTTGTCAACAATCGTTCGATGTTAGATGTCAAAGAGCTCATTTTTGTTTTAGTATCTTGTGTAAAATTGTTCACCAATCTCGAAGATAAGTAGCAATCGAATGAACTGTATCTATTAATGTAAATGTTGAAGCATAATTTGTATATATTGAATCTAATGTGAATGGGAATAAAAACAATCTTTTATTACAAAATTGATGCAGGTTTTTATTTAGTTAGCATTAGTATAAGAGTCTTGTCTCTGATTAAATTAGTTTAGTTTAGTTTTTAATTGTCTTTTATGTTGCCTTAAGAAAACAAACTGTGTTTCGTTAGACTTACTTATTGTTCATTTTTTTTGTAACACTTAATTTGCATGTTCAGCTTTGCTTAATACGAGCTTATATAATCTGTAATCACTGCTCATCACGCTTAATGAAAAAATCAAATCAATGCACTAGCACTTTATGTTATTCTATTTTCATCCTTCATCACTTCGTTTAAATTGTTTTCTGTTTCTCTGATTTCATTTAATTTTGTGCACGTCTCTTTTGCATGTGTAGTTCCAACATTCGTTTGTTTTCGTAGCATTTTTTTTCTTAGACAGAAATAAATTTTTCAACAAAATTATTTGAGATCAGTGACAAGATTCTGTGTAACCTATCCTAAATTTTCCATAACTCGCTTTCCCATATCTGTGAACTGACATCGGCTAGCTCGGACGCGCATCATTTGCCAAGAGACCGTGAGGCTGCATGGACGCTGGACAAAGGTGCTGGGTGGTGAAGGACTGTCGCTTTATAGTCCCATGTAATTAAACGTCTTTGTTCTTTTTTTTTAATAGAATGCGCGAAGGGCTTACATTTGTACTCCGGTCGGTGCTTCAAGCGTTGTCCCGATGGTACATACGCCAGTGAAATTTTAAGAGAAAGAAGCTCAAGAAGACGTAATCTTACTTATTTTTCTGAGGGAGTGGTCAGGAAGCGACAGGATGGTGTAGTATCTGCGCAAACCGCACTGGAGGCGTTAGATATGGAGCCTTCTGATAATAAGAGTAAAACTCCACTTACCTGTCTTCTTTGTCACTATACATGCGCTACGTGTATGGGCCCCCACAACGATCAATGTTTATCCTGCTTAGACGATGCACACCTATACAACGATACCGATACAGAACCAAAATTTTATTGCTACTCTAACACGATTGTTTCACAATTAAAGTACGCTAATTGGCACTACAGGCTCAATATCATCCTTGCCGTATTGTTATTTGGAGTCATTTCTATTTCGTTGTATGTTGTTGTGTCTTATTTCATTAAAAAGTGGTGTTGCGGTGGACATTACCATTCCAACGTGGCCTATAACAAGTTGGCTGTAGATGATAAACAACAGAGCGCTATGGAGATCGAAGAAGAAATACACAAAGCTTTGAAGGACTGTAGCGAAAGTGAATCCGATGATGATTTAAATTTATAGCAACTCTTGATGTTCCAACCCAAGTATTATGAAATCATCGATCAAGTCAATGTTAGTGATTAGGTAATGTCAAACAAAAGCAGGGCTCATTTTGTGATATATTACAGTCTTGATTGTCACAATTTTTTTTTTATATTTTTGTATTTAGGTAAGAATAAAAAAATGTTAGTGATACTTAGATGAGGTTAAAAAAAACGTACAAACAATTTAGTAATTTCAGACACAAAACGATCCAAAGAGAAACTGTAAACCTCTTTTGGTTTTCTACACACATTCTGTTTCTAATCATAAATTTACTTTCGGTATCGTTTACTATCTAGTTTTTTCCTTGTCTTTTCCATATTATTTTAAGACAAATCTTAATGCATTAAATTTTTACGATAAATATAGGATATTACATTCCACTTATATTAAAAGTTCTATTTTTCCAACTTTTTCATTTTTAAAATTCTGTGTAGGAATAAATGAACCCAGCCCATAGAATCAGTTTAGTAGGGGTGCCGTTGCAGAGGGGTTGAAATTTATATTGTGCAGTGATATTGCACTTTGAAGTAATTTAATCGCCCCAAGACTTTTTGGTCTCATAAGATGGGTATTTAGTTCGTGTAAACTATAGAGATTCAACGATAGGTATTAATTTCGATTTTAAGTTTCCTTCTACATAGGTATAAGTTGTCGTCAGCATAATAATCGCAAATTATTTACTTAGGTGTATTTGCTCAAGATGCCATTTCTATTTGTTTTTCTGTACTCACGGAAGCCGTTTCAGTACAATGTAAATATTTGTATGTAAATAAATGAGTTCCTATTTCCAGATGCTGTTTTATTGCGTTTTGCACTCATCTACATTTTAATTATCTACTAAATTCGCTTCATAATATATAATATATGTGACAGAACAATATGAGTTATCATGTTCATGGATGCACATATACAGAGAGGTGCAGGTTTCCAAAAGAAAGCTTTATTAAAGCATAGTTTAGTTAATGCAAAATTAGAATTAATATACCTCGTAGATCAGATAGGAATCAAACGGTGTCTTCAGAGATTGCAAATAAATGTTAAATCTGAAATGAAAGGAGAATATTTGCGATTTGACACCTAACATATTATTATTACTAATATTATCAATACGAAAGTGAGTTTCTTTATTTATTTCACTATTATGACTTAGGTAATCTACAGAACAGATTAAAATTCTACATATTTATACGTTGGTAGGCTCACAAGAAAGACGATACCTAACTTTCATCCTGAAAGAAAGTACTGTTCCAGAAGAGATACAAGAGCATTATCAACGCCATGATCAAGAGTTATGCTCGATCTCCATAAATTCGTAGGTCAAAATACGAGTAAAATCAAGAGTTACAATATTATTTTAAAGCAACCGTGATGTTGCTACCTTAATCTAATTCTGAAGGCCTAGTGGAGTTTATTTGTTTAGTTCTGAGGCCCAAGTGTGAGTTTATTTCACTTCTAGTATGGCTCGAACTAATCTCTTCACCAACGCCGAACGCGGTCACCGTGACGATCGAGTCGATGTTAAATAAATGTACACTACCGACATTTTTAACACTAGAGTGTTAAAAATGTCGGTGATATTAAAAAGTGTTTTAGCAATTGATATTGCAATGAACTGCTCGATGCGCACTAACAATCAAACTGTAATCGCGATCGATGCAATCTCATTTCAATGTTAAGAAATCTTATTTATTATTTAAAATGCACTCGTGAAACAGTGTCGACTACTTTTAAATAAACAAGATCACAATTCTTTGATTTTGTTATCAAGTTTTGATATTATAAATAAAATCATCTGATTAAGATGTTAAAAGACCAATAATGATTAATCAAATAGAACGTTGAGACATTTATGTGATATGCACAATAAAAAGGAAATGAAAGCAAAATCACCGAAAATATAGGTAAACATGAAGTCATCCAAAACACATCACAGGGCAAGAAACTCGATAAAACGTATGAAAGAAAACTAATATTTCTACTTACAAAAGTATTTTGTATTTAGGCAGAATTATTTGGTTGATATTTCAAATGAGTGTTTAGCCATACACTGCATAAAAATGTGTCACAAAACAGTATTTGCTGAAAATTCCTGACTACGAAAATATTACGTGGGATTCATTTTATTGATTTCAATTAATAGGCTTTTACGACATACTTACCGAAACGTGTTGCAGAGTTACACGGTTATAATAAAAGTGAAGCTGACCCCGCTTATAGCGCTATGAAGGTGCTTATAGCGCTTCAATTCACGTCTCGCTGTATATTTTTATTCTTCGCTTATAAGCAAGTCTCGGTAAGTCCGGTGATTCGTATTGTTGGAGAGGGTGACGACGAATTTTAGGAACATTATAAATATGATTTTAGTCCTATTTCAAGACCCAGTTTTTCTGACAAACTGTAATAACTAACCTTTCTGTTTTTTTTTTTTTTTTTTTAAAGTATTCATAATTTGATGTCTCCACTCCATTTGATCCACCACATAGATGTTTGTTTTTCACTTTACATCCAAAAGCTATTTCAGGATACCGGGCTACAATATGTACCACACTAATCACCCAGATAACAAAGCACATGGAGGATCGGCCGTGCTCATCAGGTCAAACATCAAGTACCATGTACTACAAGGCTACTGTAAAAACTACATCCAAGCAACAAACGTCGTAATAACAGACTGGATGAGTGACATCACAATTTTAGCTCTTTACTGTCCGCCGAGATTTGCTATCAAGGAAAAGGAGTTCAATGACTATTTTCAATCGCTTGGAAATAGATTAACATACGTTTTGGGGTTCTAGGCTTGTCCTAACCAGAGGGCGAGAACTCCTCACATGCATCCAAGCAAGAAATATGAACGTGATATCGTCTGGTCAACCAACGTATTGGCCAACAGACCAAAGAAAAATGCCGGATGTTATTGACTTCTGTGTCGGCAGAGGAATAGCAAAGAACAATATTACATGTCGGAGTTGCTGGGATTTATCCTCAGATCACTCTCCAATCATAGTAGATCTACACACTACCACCCAAGAATGCGTCAAAAAATGTGTTCTGCATAACAAAATAACTAATTGGTCCCTGTTTCGAGAGCTCACAGATGAAGCGTTCCAAGAACCAGTTAGTCTAAAACCAAATAACGAAATAACAGAAGCGGTTATATACTTTACTAACAGTGTGCAGGATGCAGCTTGGTTTTCAACCCCACCACTATTACATAGAATCATGGACAACTATGTAGCGAAGTATATATTAGACAAAGTAACCCAGAACTGAAGCACATTCTAGACAAAGATCGTAATGAAGGATTTCAAAATTATCTCACTGGCCTGGATGCTAGTTTTTCCTCAGATTATTCTTTATGGAAAGCCACTAGACGACTAAAACGGCCCGTTAGAGTTTCGCCTCCTGTAAGAAAATTCGATGGTACTTGGGCACGGACAGACCAAGAAAAAGCCGGCACTTTCGCGGAGTATCTGTCTTTATTCCACATCCATATGAAGGCTCTGCCGAAGATGCAGCAGAAATTATTTACCATCTAAATACTCCCAAAAATACAGAGGACATGCCTTTTAAATTTACAAAGACAGAAGTTGCCCGAATTATAAAAAAATCGGACCCAAAAAAGTACGACCTTATAACAAATCGTCTATTCTTGCGAATTGCCCGAATCCGGAATAACTTTTCTTACGTCACTGTTTAACGCCATGAACAGACTGCAGTTCTTTGTTCTGGATGTTCTCTTGTGATGCTACTGAAACCAAATAATAAACCTGAAGAAGCAATATCATATAGACCCATAAGCCTGCTACCTATTCCATCCAAGATATACGAGTCTTTACTGCTTCAACGAATCCTACCTATAATCAAGGATAAAGAACTAATTCCCGACCATCAGTTTGGGTTTCGCAGTAAACATGCCACTGTCGACCAAGTGCACAGACTAACCAAAAAGATAATGGAATCACTGGAGGAAAAATCTTACTGTGCAACTGCACATATCTCAAGTTCCTGGACATATCTCAAGCATTTGACCGTGTCTGCCACGAGGGATTGCTTTTTAAATTAAAAAACGCTCTACCAGATCACCTGTATGGAATACTAAAATCATTTCTACAGCAGCGTCACTTCATAGTACAGAATGGGGAAGCAGTGTCTGACCTTTGTCCCATAAAAGCGGGAGTTCCACAGGGTAGCGTACTGGGACCCATACACTACTTACTGTTCACTGCAGATTTGCCCACATCTGAATCCTTAACCTCTGGAACCTTTGCTGACGATACCGCCATACTAGCTGCACATAGTGACCCAAAAATAGCCTCACAAATACTCCAAAAAGGACTAAACGACATAGCTAACTGGCTCAAAAAGTGGCGGATAAAAGCAAACGAAACAAAATCAGTCAATGTAACGTTTACTTTAAGAAGAGGATCTTGTCCTCCAGTCACATTAAACAACATTGAAGTTCCACAGACAGATCATGTGAGATATCTTGGATTGCATTTGGACAAAAGACTTACCTGGCAAAAGCATATTTTCGCAAATAGAAAGCAACTTGGGATTCAAACACGAAAACTTTACTGGCTCATTGGACGGACGTCTCAACTATCCCTTGAGAACAAAATACTTTTGTACAAGGCAATACTAAAGCCAATCTGGACGTATGGGATCCAATTGTGGGGCACCGCATCCCACTCAAACATAGAAATCATGCAAAGGTTTCAAAATAAAGCACTGCGCATGATAACAAACGCTCCCTGGTTCGTACCCATCGAACTATTACACCGTGACCTACGAATGCCTACCGTGAAGTAGGAGATTGTACGCCATACTAAGTCCTATAAAGAACGCATCGAACAACATCCAAACACTCTGGCTCGGCCATTAATGGAAAACCACAACAAAGCGCGATGATTGAAGCGTAAAATACCTCAAGATTTATTACAATTACAGTAAATATAACTACTGTCTAACAACGATGA